GTTTTCGGTCTGGTGTTTCAATGATCCCACTGTTGGCACACCAGATGTCCATCGTTCTAATTTTAGGAGCAAGTTTCGTAAAAATTTAAATATCTAATTTAAAATAGGAGCAAGTTTTCAAGGTAAAAATTTAAAACTAATATAGAATAAAGCGATCAGCATACAGCCAAGAAAAGAATATAGAAATTTCTTTTCAAACAATTCCTTTTAAAAATCATAAAACATATTCCCTTAGGACGTGTCTGAAATATTCCAGATTGCAAATTCGGAGACTGTTATGGGATGATATGCAACAAAAATGGAATATTCTGAAGGTGCATTCTTTGCAGTGTAAAAACTCCTTGCAGGACAAAAGTGTAAAAGTTACAATTACGATAGAATACAGCTATGTTATAATTTTCTTCATATTGTTATTAATGGGGGATAAAACTTTATTTATTTCTTTTTCACTAATATAGTTGCTGGCAATAATGAGGTTTATCAGTTTATCAGTCAGACTTAACAAAAATATCCCATTTTCTCAGTCAGAAAAGATGACAACATAGGCATTGCATTAAACCACAAGTAAACAATTGGCCGGGAATAATTAGTGCCACAATGGAATAATCCCCTATGCAATAAAATTATAGTTCTTCGAGCATCCATGAAATCTCATCTTATGAAGAATGGTGCCTCAAAATCACGCACTGGCAATGTGTACACGTATTGCACACGTCTGTAAATGTGAAAAGGAACCTCTGTTTGCGGAAGCTGTATACGATCTTCACGCTACAGTCTTTAATTGTACAAAAGTGTGAAAATAAAATAATGGTTGAAATTTTCGATTTTTTTGTAATAACTTAATAAATCACATATACATGATGGGATTTTAATTTATATATGCATACATACATACATAGTGTGCATTTACTTTTATACACTGTTTGTATTCTGTCCTTTTTTATTTTGTTTGTTGCTTATTATTTCATAACTTTTTTAATCACATGCCTAAGAATAGTTTCTGGATTTCTCTGTATTAAATATATAACTAGACATAATTTTCTTAATTCTGTGCAAATATCGGATTTTTTCATTGTAAGCTCTTCACTTTTAAAATAAGTCTAATGGCCTTATAGAGTAAAGAGCCATTTCCCGTGTTATAATAAGAGATAATCGTAACTACTATATTTATTTTAAAAGACAGTGTTTTCCAATTAAATATCTTCCGATCTTAAGGTTGCATAATACTTTTAAAAAATAAGGAGAAAAGATATTAAGTAATGTACTATTGTGAATTTATCGAATTTATTCAGAATTATGCAGAAAAAAGAAAATGTGTGGGTGTACTATGTTAATTTTTATTCATTTTCTAGTACTGTGTATTTTGTGTTACTTTTTGTTAACAATTTGATGGTAACTTTATGTATTTCGCTTTATTTTCCCTTGATTATTGCATTTTTGTGTGTTTAATTAATTTATTAGATATTAGAGTGTTAAATTTTGTGGAAATAAGCGCTAAGTTTTTTTTAAACAGCTCCAGTAGAATCTGAGATATCCTGTGTTAAAATATGTTAGGCTTGGGTGAAGAATTTTTGTCTAATTGGCTTCAGTGAAGTAAATACCGCAAAATTTGGAAATATTCAGGAATGTTCATGAAAGGAGATCCTATGAGCGCAGTAACGCTCTAAGAGATTTCCCACAAAATTTTAGGCCCACCAGCAGCCGAACAGTAAAGTCACTGAACACTAGTAGTTTGACATGCGAATGAGCTAAGCTGCGTGTGCGTTTCCTCTATGTGTAACGTTCGATACGAGCTAGTTTCCAGTAGAAAGTCCTCAACGGAGGCATCACTACCTTTAGACAGATAGCCGTCGCATGCTTTGCCATGATCAAATAAACCAAACCAAACTAAAAATACGTCTTGCGGTTCTCTTTTTCTTCGTTTCGTGAAGGAATAATAAAAGTACCTTTATTAAAAGCCAATGTTTTGAGTTCAGAAAATGAATTCAGATACCCAGTATATTTCAGCCTTAGCTCATCCGCTTGTAATTAGCGTTTCTTGAACTTCGACACCTCGAATTTTCGATCGCAGATGATTTTGTAGTTTAGAGATTAATTTTGTCATATTCGTTCCTCGGTTAAAGATTTTTTTGTTAATTTCTTTGCCAATGGTAATTGTTTTGTTTTGAAACTTAGCAAAGGATGAAGTTTTTAAACGACGTTTTTTTTTTTTTTTTTTTTTTTTTTTTTTTTGCCTGCTAATTTAGACCATCTAACAAACAACAATACAATATACTGCATATTTTCGAATATAATTCGACCTGCCTGAGCAGTAAGATTTCGCATAAAAAATTCAGCCAAAACTGAAAACCTGTGAATAAGCCAAATTTGAAATCTTCTATAAATCCAATTATATAGAAATCGCCAAAAATGCAAATAATTGACTATCTAATTTAGCTTGACTATCAGATGAGCTAGAGGTAAGCACCAATTTACCATCAGCTTCCATTCGAAAATTACGGCTAGATAGGAAGAGCATTTTTGGAGCCGAAAATCTCTTTCTCAATTTTTCCAACTTTCAGGCATGCACATCATTTAGCATTCTGACAAAAGAAAGGCAAATTTTACTTTGCTCCTCAGTTCTCAAGCAATCGCAATAATTTCTTCTCAGTCAGTTGGAAAAAAAAAAAAAAAAAAAAAAGAGATTACCTATTATGTTAGTTTGAAATTAAAAGTTATCACTTTGATGAGCAATGCCATGGACTGAACTAAAGATGATTTTATTTAAGAGATACGTGAGAGCGATGTTAGTGATGAAGTGGAGGACGATGACATTCAATCGAATTTGCCTCAAACAAGGACTTCGCAGAGTTCCTTGAAGATTCAAAGTCATGTAGTGATATTAAAAAATGTGATTAATGTTTAGGATTAAATAAAAAAAATATGTTTTCAATTATTTAATCTATAATATTACTTTTGTGATCAAATTATTTGTAAATTTTTTTAACCTGTAAAAAATGCGTTAAAAGTCCTTGACCTATACGCAGAAATATACGGTGTTCAAGTTATAAAAAAATTAAATTCCCACTCCTTAAAATAATCAATGCTTTCTGATTCGGAAAGTGCTAATTTCTTCTTGTTGTTGTTGTTGGAGGTCGTGTTGTGCATTCTGTAAAAAGTAACTCTTATAAACATGTCTTAGAATTCGATCGCAGGAAAATCCTAGTGCGGATTATTTGGAATCGTACAATTAATTATTGCTCACGTTCTTCGAGATCCAATGACTGTTACAAGAATCTGCAACTGATAGATTCAGACGGGCCATAAAAAGTGAGGTACGCAATTCCCATTCACCAGTGCTTAAAATAACAGATTTTGCGTCCCAACAGCACATACAGTGGGACGTTCAGCGATGCACTTGGACGCATCAGTGGCATGACTTGTCTTTCTGAGGAACCTCACTTTTGCTTAGGCCGTATGTGGAGACAGTAAAGGGAAATGAATTTTAGAAGACTAAATATTTCTATAATTTTTGCAGCACAATTATAAGTTTATAATATACTGTTTACTTGTTTTCTCTGTACATCATAACTTTCCATACATGACTTTCGTAGTGGATGAATGTCAATGAATATTAAGTAAAATTATAAGGAAATAAAGCATAATGGAAAAATAATAATATCTCTGCTTATTTCTAACAGCAGGATAATTTGATAACATCTGATCTAGGCGGTCCACTCCTCCCATTTGTTGTTGTAATCTTTTATAATTATTGGTTTTTTTATTCTTTCTTTTCCGTGTTCCAACATCAATCATCGACTGTACTCTTCAAACGTATATCCTTCTTGTCTTTCCAATTCGCAACCTCATTTTTTTTCTTTTTCTGCTGAGTAGACGTTGAAGCCATCTCTCACTGTATTGTATCTTATGTAAAATGGCGCGAATATTCATAAAACCCGGGGCAAATTCAATTAGAAATAGAATGCCTGATTAGTGTTACCCTCTAGGAGGTATTAGAACAAACAAAAACTCAAACAAGTTAACATTTAGAAAACGTTTTAAACGTTTAAAAGTTTTAAAATGTAGAAGAACGCTTGAGGCGCGTTACGGCCGCCCTGCGGAAGTTTCACTTGAACGCGCTAGATGCGTTACAGACGACGAAGAGGTTAAATGTTTAACATGCGGAGTGTTCGACTCCTGCCAGGGACGCTGTATTTTTCAGATTTCTCACCAACTTAAAACGTCTATTAAATTACTACAGAGAAACTTGTATGTTAGTACTTATCGGCGTGTGCAACAGATGAACTTGTGTGGCATAAAATTAAAGTTGCATGAACTGCAATATTGCTGCCATTTAAAATCTCGATTCCATGCCCGGCTGTACAACAGCTGTTATTGCCAGGGATGGATGCTTGAAGTGTTAATTTCTGCATGTTCTGTACCTCCAAATTACATGAAGTTTTTAATCATTTCATTCTTCCATTATTATGTATTAGCAAAATAAATATGATTTCTATTATTGCTCCCCTTCATGGTGTAGCAATTATAATGGTCAGCAGTATACTTATCTGTATGTTTTTAATTCGCTTCTTCGATTTGGTTCAGCAGATACAGCGAAGTTACTATTGCTTTTTACTATCATTTATTTCATTTCCTTAATAGGAGAAATTTGGCAGAAGGATGGAAAACAATTATCTTTCCTTGATGAAGGAAAATCTGAGTCATACTCCTTCCAATTAGGCAGAGCATTTCTCTAAATTAATGGCAATCTAAGATTGAAATTTACCTAATTTTAAAGAAGCATTTATTTTTATTTAACATTTATGTTATTTTATTGAACATTCTTACATTTATAACTAAAATAGTGTGTCATACATACCTCAACCCTCTCTCTCCCTTCCTGGATTTATCACAACTTTTGCTAAAATATCCGAGTAAGAAATCTCTATATATTAAAAATATATGTTTTAAATTTAAGGACAATTACCTTCAGAGTAAATCATATAATATTTCTTTTTAAGGATGTAAGCGGAATAAAGATAATACAAGATGCAAGGACTGCAACATGTGTAATTATTCTTGATAGTAAAGGAGAATGTCTCTTTGTAGTTGGTGACATGAATATCCACGAACGTCTTTCGCTTGAACAGGTAACTATTATTTACCACAAATTTAAAAAAAAAAGTACTGCCTTTTTAAAGAAGACACTAAAATGCCTTAATGCTTATACAGTTGTTTTCTTGGATATGTGCCTCAATGGACATGTTGATACTGTCTTGCTACAATAAATTTATACACATAAAAACTTAAAATACAAATCTTAGTCAATTTTATTTTAAATCTTAGTTTAATTTGCTTTTTTAATATTTGCAGCCAGTCCCTTCCTATTCGTAAGTTTTTGCTAATCGCTTTTATTGTCCACTAAATCAAACTAATTTGTTTTTATTTTTCTTTCCTTTATGTTCTTTGAAATTCTCCGCAACTTTACTCCAATTTTTAAGTGACTCTCTCACAAACAATCTGAAACCATCTTAACTGGGTAAAATTTTAAATCATAAAAAGTGCAGAAACAGCCCACCTGCAACCAATCGGTTAAGTTGTTGAAAACTGGTAGTTTAACCGGGGTTCGATTCCAGGCGAACAGGCCGGCTGCTTGCGAGTTTTCATTATTTTCACCATATGTAACATAGCTACGAAACAGTTTACCTTAGAAAGCCCTTCACGAAGGCATTCATTTCCTTAGATAGCCCTCATGTGCTTTGCCTTAATCAAATAAATAAACCAAAAAAAAAAAAAAAAAATAGAAGCAGATATAGCCATAATTGTTCTGTAAATGATTTTAATAACCCCATGTGATTTGCTGATAATGTGAATATGAACTATTTAATTTAGTGATGATCTCCTTTAAATTACTTAAATCCTAAGTTTTCCTCATCTGTGAAATGCTAATTCATGCAACTAGATGCTATTCTTTTTATTATTATTATTACATAGATTCATTGACTTATTACCATATGGAAAGTGGAGCATATTAAGAAATCAATAAATTCATTGCTCAATAATGCTGCTGTGGTTTTACTTTTAGCAGTTTCTACTAATAATTGCTAAAATTACACAGACATCACCCTGTTGGGATGATGGTAAGGAAACTAGATGCTTAACCTTGGGCCTGGGTTTGAATCCTCAGAGAAAGCATCGGTGTTTGTTTGTAAGTGCGTGATATCTCTCTACTAAAATATTGTCAGCTGAAAAGTCCTCTCGAGAGGTTGTTGGTAGGGAGAAGACTCTCGGATACTGCAAATTCTCACTCGTTGCAGGTATAATTTGGTAGTCTCATGTGGTGCAACTTAACTATGTTCTTGGTGTTGAGACAGCTAAATGACCAATAGCTTTTGACTATTCTTGATGAATGCATTAAGTTTCAAATGTCCAGTCATTTGGAATGAAACACCATTACGGGTGAAGATGTTAAAAAGGTTTGTTCCCCCTAACCAGAAATTGTTTGTTGGGTTAATCTCAATGGAAGATTTTATTATGGTACTAAAACTCAAAAACTTCCAAACTACACTAATGCATTGACTGGCTTTGCTTTATTTCAAAATTACATATAAACCAGCTTTAAATGCATTTCAGAATTACATATAAAACAGCTTTAAATGCTAAAAAAGGCATATTAGCGTCAGGAGAAGAAGAAAACTGCTTAATTATACAAGGGTTTATATGAGTGTCACTGAAGTAATTTTTGTTATATATAAATAATAATATAAATAAGTAATTTTTGTTTTCATACTGCTTAAATATACTTCCAAACTTAACATTTTTATAAAAATTCCAAGAAATCTTCTAAAAAAAGACAGAAAGAGAGATTTCATAACCAACTTTCTTTGATGAACAGTTACGTTTTGTAAGAAAATAGCAATTTCTTGATACATGAAACAAAAAAGGAATCCTCCAATGATAATAAAAAGAAGATTCAAAATCAATATTTTTGGTCAAAAAGTATCCATTTCTAAATTTAATTTAATAATATAATTAAAAGAACTCTTAGCATATTTGTTTGATAATTGCTGGAGCATAAATGATCATTAAGCTTTTTTTAAAAGATTTCTAAGTAGGTAATTGATTCTCCAATAAGAAAAAATTGAAATCCGGTTTTTATGCGCTAAAACTCATTTTGATTATATTATTTAACTATAGCAAACTATACTAAGGCTATTCGCCAAGGGAAAAGATTCCTTTATATAACACTTTTAAAACACTGACCAATAATTACATGACATGGGCGGAAACTAATATAAACAGCTCATTGAATTGCCAGGAATTAAAATAAGCATGAGCTAATTCAGAAGTCAAACAACAAAAATCAGCGTTATATTTACAAAATTTTCACAGGACTAGTTTCTATGCTTTTACCGAACCTCCATCCTCAGCTGCAAAACCGCAAATGAACAAGATAGGAAATAATGATTAGATAAGATAAGAACGTCTGGACAAAAATAAGCAAGTGGCGCCATCTGTTGGTGAAACCAGAACTAAAATATAATTTCTTTAAAGGCCGACGGCAAATTTGGATTGGAATTAGGATCGTTAACTAGAACAGAAAGATTTTTATGAATGTGAAATGCCTCTACAAAATCCAGTTCTCCAATGGAAGATGTTTTTTGAATAATTTTGGCAGCAGAGAAATTGAAAGTGTGATTTTCGGACCAACAATGTTGAGCAAGAAAAAAGTGTTTCCTTTTTTCTAACATATGCCTCATGTTCCTTGACGCAAAATTTTAAGGCTCTCTTAGTTTGGCCAAAGTAAATTAAACCACACTGGCAAGGAATCCTATAAATACCCCAGGAATTCCTATCCGGAAAGGGGTCCTTGAGTATGGAACTCGGAATTTTGTTGATGGGAGAATAAACAACCCGAAAGTTAAATTTCTGCAAAACATGTGCAACTTTAATTTACATTGGCCAAACTAAGAGAGCCTTAAAATTTTGCATCAAGGAACATGAGGCATATGTTAGGAAAAAGGAAACACAGAAGTCTTCTGTTGCTCAACATTGTTGGTCCGAAAATCACACTTTCAATTTCTCTGCTGCCAAAATTATTCAAAAAACATCTTCCATTGGAGAACTGGATTTTCAAGAGTCATTTCACATTCATAAAAAATCTTTCTGTTCTAGTTAATGATCCTAATTCCAATCCAAATTTGCCTTTGGCCTTTAAAGAAATTATGTTTTGGTTCTGGTTTTACCAACAGATGGCGCCACTTGCTTATTCTTGTCCAGACGTTCTTATCTTATCTAATCATTATTTCCTATCTTGTTCATTTGCGGTTTTGCAGCTGAGGATGGTGGTTCGGTAAAAGCATAGAAACTAGTCCTGTGAAAATTTTGTAAATATAACGCTGATTTTTGTTGTTTGACTTCTGAATTAGTATTTATTTGGCGTGTTATTGTGTCTTAAGCATGAGCTAGTTTCCTTTAGGTCGTTCACGAAGGCAACCCATCAGCTTAAGTAGAACTATTAAGCTTCACCATAATTCAATTAATCTAATCAAAAGTCCAGTATAAAATTATAAAATTACTCATTACTTGATCTGATATTTCAAGAATTATGTTAAAAAAGAAGTAAATTTTGGCAGAGTTGAAAATTTTAACAGAGTATTAAATATATTTAAACTGCCTCAAATATTAATCATTTAATTATTGTATTAAGTTATATTTAAAATCTTGTCATATTTGGGGGGAAAGAGCAAATATTATTATTCTGTTACCAATAAGTTAAATAAGAAATATCCTTATTTATCTAGAAAAAAATTCTATTCTAAAATTCTATTCTTTTATGTTCCTATAAGACAATACCTACATATAATCCCATAAATATATAATTAAAGTATTTTTCACAGTATATTTATAAATCTGATCTCCACCATACTTTTATTTTTAATTTACTTGACATTTTCGTTTGCATCAAAAAATTGAATAGAAAATGCCCAAAAATGTTTGTTTACTATAATTTTTTTTTGTTTGTTTGTTTTGATACAACAAATTATCTTGAAAAGCATGCCAAGTAACAATTGATATATATGAATTATTATATAAAATTCAAAAAATAAGTTTTTTTAAATAAAAAATACTTTCAAAACATTCCATTCTAAGAAAAACAATATATTTAGAGTAGGAACACAAATATATCATCATTTTTATTATTAAAGGATGTTTTATATATATATATAAGTTTCTATGCAGATACATACATTAGGTGAGGGTTCTAAGATTTTAGATTGATATTTGTGTTGTGAAGACATACGAAGAAATTGGAGGTGGGGGATTAATAGTCATATTGCCAATAAGTGTACATATGAGAAAAAAATTTTAACTATCTAAATGTAAAATAATAGCAAAACCTAAACATTAAAAAACCCCAAAAAAGACTTCAAACACATATCAAAAGTATAATCAGACTTAATAAATTGCTATAAAATGCTAAAACAACTTTAATGCAAATACAACCTATAAAATTATTAACATCAGAAATATGGAATACTTATCATCTTTCACCAGCACAGGGGAAAATGCTGCAGCATACAGATGTGAAATTATATGTCAAATAAGCTAATCAGCCACAGAAATTATTATAATTCATATTCATTATTACGTATTCATGAGTACGCTATTATATCTTAGAAATATATCCATTAAGACAGTTTCCGAATAGCATATAAAGACAAAAATATTCACTGTGCAATAGAACCTTATAATTATTATAATCAATACATTTTATTTTTATTCTTTTATGAATAAAAAATAAAATGTATTGATTATTATTAAAAATATTTTTATAAATATTTTTAATAATAATCAATACATTTTATATTAATATGTTTATAATCAAATTATTAATTATAATATTTTTATATCAATACATTTCATTTTATTTTATATTCTCTTCTCTGATACAAATCCTTTTAGCAATTGATCTAAATGCTTAATTTTCACTGTTAGTCTTTAAAACATATAGAAGTGTTCAAAGTTTAAGTCACATTTTCCATTATTGAATTTCTTAATTTATATTTCACAAATATGGAGCACACTTTTCATTTAGCACATTATGATACCATTCTTGATTAAATTAAATAATTATTATTTTTAAAAAAAAATTGTCTATAAAGGTGAATGCAAATAAAAAATCTTCGACTTATAGGTGGATACGCATAATGAAATCATATCTAGTGCACCTTTAGTTATCATTGATGGCAATATACCAAAAAAGACTATGGATCACATCTTTGAAATATGCATAAGGTACAGAGTTCCTGGTAAGTAATTCTTTTTCATTTTTAAATAAGCTAAAGTTACAGAATTTCTGAAAATAATATTTTGAGTGTTATATAATAATTTTCAATCAAAGTTTAAAGAAATGATACTTAAGTCAAGTAAATAAGTGTCAAACTTCAATGAAAGTAATATAAACAACAGATATAAGACAGACTACTTCAGAAACCAATCATTGTATATAAAGCTATTAGTATTTATACTTTTAAAATTTATTTTTATATGCATTGGTATAAAAGTTCTGTTAATGCTCTCATACAAATGCAATTTTAAAATATGATTTTAATCATTATGTTAATAGAGATACTGACACATGGTCCCAGAACCATAATGGCACATAATAAAGTATGTTTATTTTATTTATTGGATTACGACAAAGCACAATAGGGATATCTGCCTAAGGGAAAACATGCCTTCATGGAAGCCATTCTAAGGGGTATTGGTTCATATCTACGTGGGAAAATCCACATGAAAGTATGGTCAAACTAATGTGCATCTTAGTCACTTGACCACTGTTAGGCCCATAATAATAAATTATATCCATACATATTCTACTCCAAAATACTTGACAATACATCAAGAAAATTCTAACCTGAACATACACAGTTTATCAGGTGGTGCGGAGGTTTCTCAGAGATTTTACAATTTATTTCAAAATGTAATGTTTAAAATGTTTAACTCTTTGAGCATTCAAGTTTGACACTGAAATCCTAAAGTTCTCCAAAATGTCATGAATAAATTATACTTTAATTGTAATTCCCAAAGAGCCCTCTGACTTTGTAATTTGATTCCTTTTCTTTCAATATACTCTCAATGCGAAATCGGATCTACTAGGAGATGGCAGAAATTTCTGTGTGTCATGAATTGGAAGCCATCTATCCATGATGAATTGTAAGTCCATAACCCTTGGAGGATTAATAAAATTACAAATGAATTTATTTCATATAGAACTGTGTATATAAAATACTTAGCTTAAAATTATTCCTAAACTTTTTTTCATCATAGAAAAAAAAAAAAAAAATAAGAAAGAAAACAATAGTACATGAAATTAATGAATGTTGCCAACCATGTGGAATCTTTAATGCAAATTTAAATAGCATATTATTTACCATGCCATAATGAACAACATAACATAATAATTTCTAATTTTAAAAAATGTCATAATAATTTAAAGTAACCAGGTAAAATGTGGTATCAATTTGTGATTTACCAGTTTGTAGTGTGTTCTTAATGATACAGTCAAGTATTACAAAGATGATTCCTGGCCTATAGTTCCAGATATTTTCAAACTTCTATAGGGATGATTGCCTTAGAGAAGTATATTTCAAGATTAATATTTATTTATATTTTAAGTAATACTGGTCACTTTCAGAACTGATCTCCATGACTGTTTCACTGTACAAAGTGCATCCATACAGTGACCAGAAAAATTAAATGACCAAATGATAAAATAAAAAAAAAGGGAAAGAATAAATATATGTTTAGAAAGAATGACATCTCAACTCTCATTAAAACAAGTATAATGGGAACTTACTGCTAATTATTTAATAAACTAACTATACAAGGCGACCTGAAAGAATTAGAAATTTTGGAATGGAGATTAATGGAAGAGAGTAAATACATTAAAATCATATATTTGTGTTTATTAATAGTGCTGAGTATGCAAATGATGAATTTCAATCCAGTAATGGGGTGTATGATCATAGTCATTCTATACTGAAATGACAACAAAACTCTCTACACATGATCTCTCACACAACCATTCTTGTAATAAGCTTTGACCATAAATGCACAATGGACACCATTCCACTGCTTTGTCATTACTAAATGGCAAGATGTTGCCGGCAGTATAACCATTCAACACTACCTATCTCGCTCAACATTACCCTGTTAAAGGCTACTGTAACACATTCTAAAATGTCCCATTTCTTTCAGTTATGCCTCAAGACAGGTTTCCATTCGAGTTAAATGCGTGATCTAATGAAAGCAGCATTTTTTAAAATCAAAATGAAAACCTATTTTAATGAAAGAGATATTTTTAACTAAATTTAAAATTTTGTTTACTAAATGCATTTACTAATTTAAAATCCATTTAAAAGCAAAGAAGTTTTTTCTAGTTTAGACATGTACTCAAATTTCATATAAAAATATAAGGCAGGCAATATAGATACATTTATTATATGTATATATATCTTATATGAAAAATATATACAAATGTGTGAATATATATCACAATAAAAGAAACAAAACAAGTTTTGTTGAGATGCCAAAAATATAGCTGCTCTTTACAATAAACAAGTACTTGACATACATAAAGCAACACAGACTTATATATCAGCTAATCACAACAGCTCAAAATATTAACAAATCACTATCAAAACATAACAATATATGTATATATAAATATATAATTGGTATTTAGACTGAATAGTTTTCTGGTTTTCCTTATAAATTTGTATAGATATATATTTTTCACAAATACAGCAGTAATTTGAATAAAACACATGGCATTTTCCAGACATATATGGTGATTATCTTCTGACAGTGCATCTGGACCACTTTTATAAACTGAAAGGAAAAAGTATACAAACATAAATACATTGAAAATATAAATTATATATAAGGTGCTTTAAATAAAAAACCAGTACTTTTTACAAAGGATATAATGAAACTCCTGAAATAATTACATTATTACAGTTTAATACAACACCTTCTAGTTCAATGCATTTACACCAGTGCATGACAAATACACAGATACCATGATAAAAAAATTCATATGGATGAATGTGCGGCTATTCATGCACAGCTGACCTATCATCATTGATACCTCAAAAATTTATTTTACTCAGAGCAACCTTCAGTGGGCAGGAGACATGAAAATCCTAAGGTACAAGATTCAGCGAGTAGCACATAATATTACATTTAAACTATAACATTCGGTGCTTTTTGAAGAACAACTGACAGAATTTCTCTCAGCAGGTCTGGGTAAATGGCGTTTACTGGATATATTTCTTTGACTGTGTGTGTAGAGCACTAAGATTAGCAACTTCTGAATTATGAAAGAAAATTAACTGAATCTTATGCCTCACTATTTTTGGTTTGGGGGATGAACAGCATCACTCCGTACTCTGTTGCTTTTGTTATATCTTGTAAAATACACCCAGCTCTCATTTCCAGTGATAAAACTGCAGAAATGCTTAAAATGAAATTGCAGAAATGAACCTCACATTATGCTGAAGCTTTTAAGAAGCATCAATAACATATGGCTTTCCTTTCAGATGTCATCTGCTTGTTTAACCCCCTTGTGCACATTTTATAGAACTTCAGTTCATTATGAATGGGCAGGATGATCCAATATTATTACCCAATAGTTACCTTGACTATGACTAATCTAGTTTTCCAGAATACGGTGCTGGCTGCAAAGCTGTGTTTGCTGGCTGTTATAAATGCTGAATCTAGACAAGAAGAATCCTCCACATTAGAATCATTGAATTGTTTACTAGATCTCTCTCCATGCAACAAATATGATGTAATCATTTATTGGTAACTCAAGATTGTTGCCTTATATATCCAACAAATGATAATTTCAGTAATACATATGATTTTTTAATACAGCTTTTTTGGCCTTTTTTTACTGAATGGCCCTCATATGATTATAAACATTTTTAAATAATAATTACTAAAACATATTACTGATTTAAGTATCAATTATTAACATACTACACTAAACAACATATTTTTATTTGAAATTTAATAAAATCTCTTCTTATATTATTAAGTGCAAATATTTTATTAATATTCATTTAAAAGCAGTAACAAAATTCACAGTATTATCTATTTTGATATAAATGGCACTGTATCAAAACCAAGAATACATAGTTTTGACATAGTGCTATTAAATGAAACACATATTGCAACTTCTTCAAATAAGCATTAAATGCACTTGATATAAAAGCTTAAAATGTCTGAAATATCTGAATTTGAAATGTTTTCTACAGTCACATCAAAACATTATTTTTATCAGTGAAAGCGAGGAACCAGTGACCTGCCATTATTACATTCTTAGTTAGACCTATTCTCAAAAGACCAATATGATATGCATACTAAAAGAAAAAAGGCTACTATAATGATATTTTTAATAATATATTCAAAAAGATAATTATTTTTACAAGCTTTTTGTAAATATAGGAAAAAATTCATCTTTGGAAAAATATTTCTCTGAATCCTCTATTTTTGATTAAAAAACTTGACAACTTCTAAAACTAGAACTCCTCTCCTGATGTAATGCATGTTTTCATTAGTCTAAAAATTCAAATGTAAAACTAAAGTTAGATCCAATGATAACATTTTACAAAAGTTAACACCTTCTCAAGCTATAAAGTTTTAAAAATCATAATCAAATACATGATATTTACTAACAATTTTGCTACTGTCCCTCCCTCTCCTTTCTATAGAAAAAAATTTTTTTTTTCCTGAAAAGTTTTTTAAAAGAATTTTTTGGGCAAGTTTACTATTTGAAAAACGTCAAAATAATGTTTCTGTCAGCAAACTATTTGAGCAAATAAGAGCCAATAAATCCGTGTATAATTAAAGCTTCTAGAACACATTATTTCAATTTTAACTCAAAAATTTAATTAATTAAAAAAATTAATTTCATTTAATTAGTTTTTTAATTTAAAAAAGTTAATATGGAAATCATACAGAAATAATTCCTAAAATTAATGTTCTGAAATGGAATTTGTTCATAGAAGCTGGGATATTTTCAGCAGATACTGATTATGTTTCTGCAAAGTACAATTTGCCAATTAAAGAAAAAGATGAAGTACAAAAATAAAGTAAAGCATCTGAAGGTGCAATGTTGTTTTGAAAGACGAATGTTATACATAACATAAATCACAATTCATAAGTTCAAATTCATGAGTTCCACACAGTTGAAGAAAATTATGAACAAGAAGTGGATGAAGAGTCAGCTAATTTCCAAAGTGAAAAGAAAATGAGCAAAGTAGATATAAAAGTAAATTATGTAAAGATGCAGCAGATATCAAAGAACAGTTTGAATCCTATATGATAATGTCAGTCATGCATGAGACTTTTTAATGCAATTTACTGTTAATAAACCAGTGACTTTATAGTTACCTTCAAAATGTTAAATAAAGCAATATAATATTCAAAATAATTTTAAAAGAATAACCAATTTTAGTCTTTTTTTATATAAATTATAATAATAAAAAGTATTATATGAAATTAACCTTTCATCTAATTAAAAAATCAATCTTAGATAGTTATTTACTATTATACTTCCTTTCTTGCGTTAGGGTTGCCGCAATTATTTTTGGCAGCACTGGCATCAACAATAGTTTGGCGATTTTTTACGGCCCTCAAAACCGAATAGTACCAAAATTTTTGCAGGAATAGAACGTTTTGCAAAAAAAATTCTAAAGGGAACTAGGAAGAGATGCATTTGGTAGACAGATGCTGTTATAGAGTCTCTGAAATTCCCATTACTGTGTACTTGGACAGAAGAATAGCAAATAAAAAAAATTACAAAAATATTTGGAAAATAATTAAGTGTTCTATTTTTAACCCGGCGGAAGTCGCACCAAGAAAAGTTACTAGAGTGGGCGTGTGGAGTATCACATACCCCAATATTTAAATACAATAAAAATAGTATTTTTAGTTTTAAAACTTTTTTTTTTTTTTTTTTTTTTGTTCTTGTGTATTATAAATAAATTAAGTGAATAATAATTGGATTTCAAAAAATTAATTTCCGAAATAATCTTGGAGTTAAAATTAAGATAAATGAAAAAAAAAACATCATGCCTCCAAGTTTCATTGCATCTCTGATACACCATGCTTATTTTATTTCTTAACCCTTTGAACAAAATACAGTCAAAAGTCGTTAATTCGGACACCCATAATCTGGAATTATCTATAATCCGGACCTCAAAGCTAAAAACTTTCTGCGCATGCGCCGCGCTGACACATGCGCATAGGAGTTTACGCGTGCGTGTAAGACCTTTACGACTGCGCATATGCATGTATGCAAGCGCAGAATACGTTTTTGCGTGCGCATTTTATGTATAACGAACGGTATAAGCTAAAATTATCTAATTATCTATTTCAGTTAATGTTGATGATTGCGTTGTTCCTTAATCTTCGAATTGGATCCGGCTTATTATTTTTTGCAGACTGTAAGAGCAATTTTATAAAAGTAAACTTGAACTTTCGATTATGTCAAATAGAATTTCCGATGCTGGAGCTTCCAAAGGATCTACAAAATGAAAGTATGTTTCGATGTCCATCAAACAAAAAGTGGAATTGCTGCAAAAAATGGATAAAGACATGAATAAGGTGACAGAAAGGTTAGTGAAAACGTAAAAATTTCGATTGACAAGTTAGTCGGTATTCTCGGCACAGCAATTACGGGACTTGAACAGCGGAACTTTGTAACTGAACAAGAAATTATGTCTGTTTATAGAACTAAAGAGAAAGTATTATCACATAAAATGAAGCAACTTAAACAACTTACATTGAAAGAAATGTTTAATGAAGTAAACAAATAAATATTAAGCTTTTTTTTTTTTTTTTTTTTTTGTAAATTTTGATACACGTTAGATCATAATTGTTCTTTATTTCATAAATTACGGTTTCATATTTTTAATTTTAGAATTTCTGCATGCCATCTTACGAGATTTAAACTGATGATCTATAATCCGGAAAAATTGATAATCTGGAATCGCCAAAGTCCCGATGAGTCCGGATTAACGACTTTTGACTGTACATTCATGTGTTCTTGGCACAGAATGTTTTCACATTTTAAACATTGCTTTCACGTTCTTCTGTCCTTGGCGCGACGGCAAAAAAATTATTACATCTTTCATACTTAGTTGTTTCGAATTTCATGTATTCGTTTTAATTCTTTGTCGAAACTTCTGCTTTTGTTTTCATGCAGTAGTCAACTTCTTGGAAAAATATTAATCTCTGATCTTTGTTCAATACTTTGTTTCATTAATTGTAATGCTAAGTCCTTCAAAAAGAGACTTCTGTTTCTGGTTGGTGGATTAGCAGTTGAATGTAATATAATTCAAGCATTTATTACAGCAACATTCAGTGCAGGAAAGAAAATTACCATTGGCCACCTCCTTGTTATTCTGGCAATTGAATAATTGGCTGACATTTCATCCCCCATAACCACTGCTCCTTTAGTCATATTATTAAAACATATAATTCTGGTGTTTTATTTTCTCCAATAGTATCATCTATAGTATGATCGTTATATAATGATGAAAGCATAAGAACAGTTTTTCCTTTTTTAGGAACATCAGGAATTAATGTTTTATCTTTTTCAAATCCAAAACATTGTAGAAAATATTCTTAGTTTCATCTTCAGTTTCCAAAATGCAATCTTCATCACTTTCAAATATTTGTAGTAAATCTCACAGGCGTTGCATCTCCAGTTCATAGGGACTCATTCTTTTTACCATAATGCAGTTAGAAATTTTAAAGAATTTAATTTCAAGTACTTTAAAATCACTTGCGAGTAGAAATATTTATTGTTACACTCTAGAAATAAATTTCTGAACTAAATATTCAGTCAGAAAAACACTTACACAAACAGGCGCGTTGGGTGTGTCATACCCCAATTCCAACAGAATACCGATAAATCTTTTTCTGAAACACACAGGCAAAGAAAAAGCGGTTCAGAAAGTCAACCACAACTAGAAACTCAGCTACTGAAAGCAGCACAGAATTTCAGTTTCACAAGTTAGGAATATTCCAATTTTATGTAGGGTTGGGGTTATGATACACCCCACGCGCTTTCCCGCGGGTTAATGTTTTAAGTAATTCTTATTTAATAATTTGTATTTTAAAATGCTCAAGTATCTGTTTTCTTATTGTTAAATTCTGTTTTCATATTCTGTTTGCCAACTTATGATAAATATTGATAGATTGGGAACCTTTTTAAAAAATCACTAACCTGCATCTGATAAGTAGCTTTTACCTTTTCATCTGTAAAAAATCACCCAATTATACCTAGCTGGTTGCATGAATACTTGAGTACCTATACATGTTTTAGCAATCTGTTTTGTGTGAAGAGAAGTAATCTTTATTCATTTCGTGTAGTTCTTGTTTATGACATAAGTTAGACATTTGTTTTCCATTAACTCAAAATGAATTACAATAAAAGAACTTTGGAACTTTCTGCAAGTAATCTCTTTTCAAGTACTTATCCACTAATAAAATATTTTCTGTAAATAAATAGCCATATGATTTTTCTATATATCATAATATTAAATGGCCCATGATTATATATGAAATAATATTTCTAAAAAATACTCTCTTCTGAACCATGTGTAAACTACAATATACTGGTGAGATTCAAAATTTTTAGAACTGTTTTGCTGCCTAAATAAATAATAAAATTAGTTACCATGTGGTTATAAAGTGCCCTAATGAATATTACAATTCAGTACAAAATTTTACTCACTGACCTAAAAATATTTTAGAGGCTAGGTTCGCCAAACTGATGTGAACTAACTGCAAACTAACACTATTTTCATTAAAAATGTGCTTCATTTTTTAAAACATTTTTAACTTTAAAAGAAAGTACTATAAAAAATTAAGAATGTGATAATTACAACTTATTGTCACAACATTATTACACTCTTAATTTTAAAACAAATAAATACATTCATTATTCATTTTATTTTTTATACAAATAAATACATTCATTATTATTTAATACAAATTAAATACAAATAAATCATATTATTTTAATACAAATAAATTAATTTTAAACAAATAAATATATTTCTAAACATACGAATCAGAGCATGCCGACATCTGCCGATTTGAGAGAGGAACATGGTAAGTTACAATGCCCCTATGCAACTGTTTTCGCAGCCTAAATATATGGAATAGCAGACCAGTTGCAGCAAAACTAAGCAGAAGAGTTGATAAGACACAGAATCCATACCCCCAAGACAAGATATTATTTTTGGGGAATTTGATCCATGATCGTTCAAAACACATTAGTCCAAAAACACAAACTCCAAGGAATGCTAGAAGTGCTGAAAAAGATTTTTAAAAATTAATGATATGGTAAACAACACTTATGTGTCTTTAAAGATTAAAATGTTTCATACAGAATATTTTTTAAGAGAACAAGACAAAATACAGAATCTGGCATAACTTTAAATGCTGTAATGATTTATTATATATTTCTTCTTACAGTTATACAATGAATTTTAAGTAAAGTACTAAGCACTAAAGTATGATCATAGTCTTTCATGGTTGTTACTGATGAAAACCTTGAGTGATAACATTAAATGATGAAAAAATATCTTTTCACTCTTTCATACAGAGAAAGGCCAAAATCTGCTCCCTTCAAACATGTGAAACGCCCATTATATGAATTTCTATTGGAATTATTTCCCCCCCCCCTCCTGCCAAAGAGACGAGAGAGGAGTGCATGTTCTCTGTGGAGTCATACCTTTCAACGTATTGCATTTTCATGCATATAAATTGGCAGTGGTGAAAAAACTTAATCCACGCTATTTTCTTTCACGAAAAATTGCATGCAAAGCCATTCTTGCCAATACGCCTCATGATGCCCTTGTGTTCTTTAGCGATGAGGCTCATTTTCATCTTTCCGGTTGCAGTATGCATTAAGCAAAACATGCGATAATGGAGTGGCATGAAACCCCGAGAATTTCATGAGCAGCCCCTCCATACAGAATGTGTGACTGTTTGGTGTGCATTGTGCAGAATAAGCATCATTAGACCATGATTTTTTGGAGAACATTTCCCTAGACGCCTTATCTCCTTATGAGACGATTGTCAATGGCCAGTGTGCTTGCCTGATTTAGCCCTGTGCAATTTCCTTTTGTGGGGCTATCTGAAATCTCCAATGTCCAAAGATCCTGGCTCAACTGAAAAACAATATTCAAGCTGCTATCAACAACATACCCATTAATATGCTGGTAAAAATTGAAAGAAACTTCAAAAATGCACTGACCAGAATGGAGGCCACCTTAATGATATTATTTTTAAACCGTAACAAAAAAAAAAAAAAAAAAAAAAAAAAAAAACTTTAAGTGTCTCTCTATAACTTGGAAAAAATTTAGCTGATATCACTTATACTATTTATGTTATTCATTTTTAAGGTAGTTTCCCTACCACAGCCTGTATGAATTCTTCGACTGAAAATAATGCAAATTTCCAAAAAACAGTTTTCAAAACATGGAGTAAAGTGTAAACATATTAGTGAGATTTACAGATTACTGATATTTTATTATTTCATATAAAAATAAAAAGACCTTTCATTTTTTTAGAAAAGAAAGAAATCTTCAAAGTGTCTTTTTATATACTACAAAAGACAGTGTATTCTACAAAGAAGAATGATGCCTATATACTGAATGCAAATAGCAGTGGTCTGAAATTGACAACCCCCTGAAGCATTTTTATGTGGCCCGCGAAAACATTTCAATTATATAGTTTTTGCAAATATGTTGTTACAAAGATTTCAAGAATTTTAGTTTTTTTGAAGTCTGAGTTTACATTATTTTCACTTCCATTAAAATAAAATATGAATAATGCACCAGAAAATCTATAAATAGAACTAATTAATTTATAGTGTGGTAAAAATCATATTTAAAGATTTGAGGATGCAAATTTTATTAACTTTTTTTCCATACTTGTCAAATATAAATATGCTTGGTAACGAATTTTTGCATTGAGAAAAATCATTTTGTTTGGGAATATATTAGTATGCTAACAGCCTTTTTTCACAACTCAAAATTATATGAAAAGAGCCAGATTAACTGATGAAATATGTATAGATAACAATGCCATCAAATGTCAAGCCATAGTAAGAGATAAAAGTTTATAATTATTTGCATACACACATATGTACTTCTATTTATGTGGCAAAAAAATTTAATAAATAATAGAGCGGTTGCTATTATTTATTCTCAAATTTTGTCCCACTTGGTAAATTTTCTCCGAAAACTTAAAAAGCTTTCAAATGTATATTTTTAGTTTAAATTATTTGATGATTAATTAAATGTGTTAGAATTATTTGAAAGAAATATCAGTCTAAGAATTTAATATTTAGCTGTCAATATATTTCACTATTAAAGTTAACCAACAAAAAAAAAGAGTCTTACAAGTACCAAACATTAGATTTCAGATAGAAAATAAACATAATTTTTTTCTATTGCATTATTAATTTTATTATTTATACATGTTTTAAGAAATATTTAGAAAGTGAAATTTAAAATTTATTTTAAATATTTTTTATCTTATTAATAAGTGTTTTCATTGGTCAAAAAAAATTATGAATTTGTTTGTGAGAAAAAAAGGGAGAAAGTGGCCTGTCAGCTGTTTTTAGATCATAGATTCAGCCCACATGCAATCTGAATTTGAGACCACTGCCATAAAGTAAAGTAATTCATTCAACTAGCACTGAGGTACAATTTAAGATAATCCTAGTACCCTAAATTTAACCACATTAAGAAATCAAAACTCCTTCCCTTCCCCCTCATTGTAGACATTCTAATAAAAAAAAAGTAAATAAGGGTAAAAAATTCCATGATGTAAAAAAGTAAATAAGGGTAAAAAAAATTTTAATTGCTAACAAATATTTAATTGTCAACTTGCAAACTATATCTAAATTTTATTAAAGGATACAGCAAATGTAATTTTATTCAGATTTGGTCCTTGCTGCTTATTTTCTCTGATCTTTTCTTGATTGTTCAGTAACAATCTTCTGCACTTTGTGATTACTTTCACCAACCCCTAAAAAGTCATCAACTTACTGGTAGCTTTGAATTGCTGAAAAATTTTTGCTTGGACATTTAGACTCCTAGGGACCAGGCCCGCACCAAACCTAATCGGTGCCATCATGCAAATGTCTAGCGAGCGCCTTTCTGTAGTGACGATATTAAAGGGACGTTGCTATTAAAATGAAGCATTCGTAACATAATAATATGAAAAATAATAAAACGTGCATTTTATCTTTTGTCCAAATATGCAAATATTTTGTGGTTTCTTAAAAACTGCACTCAAACATACTTATTGTAGAATTATACATAAATTTATGTTATAAAATGCCACTGAACCAGTATAGTGGTTAGCATTGGTGACTGCCATGCCGAAGGGTTCGGGTTCGAATCACAGAGAAGGCATGGATGTTTGTAAATGTGTCCGTGTGGCATGGGGACACTCCAAATATGTGAAGCGAGAGCACTCTCCTAAGGTTGGTGGTTAGGGAACAGGTGTGGGAGACGCTCGGACCTGTCCCCGCAGGTTGCTCTCCATCAAAATTGGGGATGAAACTGAGCTAAATCACAATGTCAAATGCAATATGCAATGACTAAGGTATGTAAATGCAAAAAATGCTCTAGGGATGTTATCTAGAAATATTTCCAAAATTCTTTTCTGTTGACAACGATATAACTCAAGAGTTTCAACCGGCGATGCAACATTTCCTCTAAAAGTTTGCAAAAAGCCCAGTTCATACATAAGATCTATACTATTTATATCCTGTTGATTTTTATCACTTAATACTTTTTGCAGTTTTTGACAAACCTGTAAATATATGTGAACAAAAATATCAGATGCTGATGCGTATGTAAAAGGGCTATAATTTCTCTATCAACGTGTACGACTAGGCGGGACATTTCCAAGAAGCGAGATTCTAGTAGCACTGGTTTAAACGGGAGGTTTCCAAAAAATGTTGCCTCTAGCTAGGCGCAATATGTCCCGGCTATGACAAACATTTTGAAACTTCTGAAAATGTTCCGTCTGGAGTCATGTTCCACGTAGGCTCAACCAATCAGACAAAAATTCTGCTTCTGAAGGTTCACGGGTAATTTTTAATATGGCGATGGCTCTTGTTGTGAAATCATGGAGGTGGAAATAAATGCCGATTTAATTGAAGAAATACATATTGAAGAAAATATGTATACAGAAATATGCATTGAAGAAAAAGCTGCATATATATTGCTGTTTTGTTGTAGTATAACTGTCCAAGTCATTTTTAAATGTTTATATATTCATTAAATTTATAATCATGGAAATTCCAGAGTAAACAATATTTTATGATATGCTATTTCTGATGATTTTTTTACAAATTATTCATCGCCAAAGGTTCACCAAATTTGTCGTTTTTTGCGCTGATTGTGTGAAAATAATGTTACTATTATACAGGGTGTTTATAAAGTCCTGGATCCATTTTGATGTTTAATAACTCATAAAATAATACAGATAGATTAAAATTAATAACATAAGTAACATTACATCTATTAATAACATTACGTCTTAAATAAATACTTTAAATTTGATTTATTTACTCAAATAAACAAAAGAGTACACCACCTCCTTGAATTATTTGGTATTTATCTAATAATTCATATATTTTCCAAGCAATGGTTTAAGATATACTCACTTTTTCAGACGTAAGGTAAAATATTTCAAACAGGGACTTTCTGAGTATTAAGAAGTGTTTTACACAATAGTTCTTATAACAGTTATTTTCTACTTTTATCTTTACTTCCATTTTTCTGTTTTCATTTTTCCTGAGATGTCGGAAGAAAAACAGAAAAAATTGTTTGAGTATCAGAATGTAATGAAGAAAAAGGAAGGTGAGACATAAGACTTAATAAGCCAGACTTTATAAGCGAGTTCTGATTTAATAAGCATGGACTTTCAAATTAATTAGTTTTTTCCAAACCCAAAGAATACCCAAGCTGACGTTACTAGCACTAGTTGTCCATCAATGTTTCAGCTACCATTGAAATTACCAAAAGAACCTAACAATCAGAAAGAGTTTAGAAAGTGTTTTCACGCGGGAATTACCTTTAACTTCAGTGCAGCCTGTCGAAAATACAGAAGAAATGCTATTGGAATCTACAAATTCTGCAGTAGATACGCATTTGCCTGGTGATTCCGAATTATGCCCAAGTCCATTACTGCCATCCCAAGTTCAAGCCTTAACAGAAAATGGCCCTGGATATTACCAAAACCTGGTTTCGAGCTCCAGTTTCCCAAAAGACAAAAATGGAAGTAAATTTTTTTAGATGTATTTTTGTTGAATCTTGCCAAACAATGAAAGAGTTAATCCGATTTCTTAGAATGATTATGAAATAATAAACCTGTTAATTCGGAATTTCAAATTTTATTTTAAAAAAAGAGAGAGAGAGAGACTAAGCATTGGCGTGATGTTATTGAAAGAATTATCTATGCCATTCAGTTTTTAGCCAAACAAAACTTGCCCAAATTTTTTCCGTAGTTCCAGCAACATATTATTTGAAAGAAATAATAATTTTTAAAGTGTATAGAAATTATAACAATATTTAACCCTATCATGTCTGTATATATTAATAAAATTAAAACTAAAAAAAAATATGCTTCTTTACCTTGGAGATAAAATTCAAAATAAAGTAATTAGCTTATTAGGAGATAATATAAAGCAAATTACTTTAAATAAGGTCAAACAGGCAAAGCATTTTTCTATCTTACTTGATTGTACTCCTGATGCCAGCCATCAAGAGCAGATATCAATTTGTATGAGGTATCTTAATTTAGAAAATACAGGCATGAGTATTGAAGAAAAGTTTTTAGTATTTTGTATTACAACAGATATGAATGGTGAAGGACAAATAATATTCTTATTAAAGACTTTATTGGAAAATGGTTTAGATATTAGTAATTTACATGGCCAAGAACACGACAATGGTTCAAACATGAGAGGTAAAAGGGTTTCGAGTAATTATGCTCAAATCATTACTTCTCCAAATTAAAAAAGTTAATCTAAGTTGAACATAATATGTAACTGCACTTACCTTTTTTATGTAGAAAAACAATGACAATAATCACAAAAAAAGAAGATAAATATTGCACAAATTATTACGATTGCAACAGTAGACACAAAATAAGGATTAAGCAATTTATTGAATGTGTCCACCCTTACATACGCATCGGCATCAAGTAGTTTCATGTTCAAATAAGAAGAAGACAACATCAGAGACGAACTCCTGCCCTGGTTATAACTTTTTGTCAAATAAGACAGTGTGCTAGAAGGAAGGGGTACTCAGACCTGGCAAGCTCGAGGCTGCCCTTAACACAGTTAAACGCCTTAATCCCTAGAGGCAATCCAAGATGCCACTAAGCTATCGGTCCAGCCGACGAGCTAAGACTAAGCTGAGACAACAGGAATACTCAGTAATTCCTGTTCTGGAAGGATGCTAAAAACATGTGCCATCAACAGGGGCCCCAACCCCAGACAGCAGAACGAAGTCACTTAAACACTGTCAGACAGACCGGGCCAACAATCCAGCCTGCTAACACTACGTCATTGTATACAGATGTTGACTTTAGGTGTCCCCAGGGTGAAACCAAGGAAGGATATGAATATGCAGTTTTGAGGCTCCAGGCGCACTGCAAACCTCAAACAGTTTAAAGGCTCGCTGAATTCGCCAACTCCATCGACGGGGTTGTTTCGCCTTAGACAACCATGAATATCTGACTATATAGCTCCACCTCAATCAACGGAAGGGACAAGACAGTACCACATGGTCTCTGCCGAGCCTGAAACAGCCATCGCTGGTGACGACTCCAGTCCTGTGGAGACTGATTTTAAGCCCATGCCGAGATTGCCAGATCCTAAAGTAGTTTCTAAAAGTGATCCTAAAGTAGTCTTGTAGATCCTAAAGTAGTAGATCAGTAGCTTCTCAGGTCTTACCTGAGTCGACCCCCACAGAAGCCTTCAAATAAGACAAGAATTTTCCTTTTCGAACAGGCAGCAAGACAAACTGCTTGACGGCGCCCTTTTGACTCGGCGCCATCATGCACCGCACGACCTTGCATCTATTGTCGGCGCAGGCCTGATAGGGACTGTTTTGTTCATTAAGTACATATAATAAAAAGAAACATTTCATAAGAAATGAGAAATTTTATGAGACAAAAACAAAAATCTATATGGGCAATATTTACAACTGGTGGATACTGTTCAGTATAATGATGGTTAAATATAAAGCATTTAAATCAACATATATTAAAAAATGTGAATGCATGGATTAGCTATTATTGCATGTATACTCAAAAATATGCCAAAAAATGGCAATTGTATTATACATTGGAATCAAAAGGTGTTAATAATCAGAAAGAAACCAAGAATTTATTTATTTTGTTGTAAACTATTTTTAAGAAATAAAAGTTTTCGCCAAGCAGTGCAATTTAGTGCCAATAATGGTTGATGTCATAACTTATATTCATTAAGTCTTTGCTTTGGCTTTAGATAACTCTGATTAATTCTCAATAAAGCAGCAAGGAAATATTCAACCAACTTCATTTTTTAATTACAACTCTTTAGGATTCTTGGAAGGCCTATAAAAATTAATGAATGAGCTGTAGAATTTGAACATTTTAAGGGTAACCACCAATATAATTTTATAATTTATAGATCCCAATAACCGGCAGAAACAACTGAGAATAGCCATAAGTTTGGTCTTGAAGAAATCTATCATTTGAGTATAACATTTCCATTATATCTATAATGGAAAAAAAAGTAACGTTAAGTATACCATTTCCATTGTTCCTATGACTGAACATGTAATCTATAGCTAGAAACAAATGAGAATAAAAATGAGAATTTGAGTAGCATTACATTTCCTTCTTAAAGTTGTTTCCATGCTGTAGTATCTGTAATTTGCTGCCTAATGAGCCCGTGTTTGAATCCCAGAGAAAGCATAGATGTTTGTATGTATATAGTGTCTGTAGCAAAGGGGGGGGGCACACAAAATAAACAGCAAGCTAAAAGTTCTCTTAGGCTGCTATCACATGTCGGTTTGTTTCGGAAGAACAACTGTTTGGAACAATTTTCTGCTTTGTCTCGACAGCCAATCAAAACAGATCGCTTTGGGGTTTACGCAGGGCAAACTGGTTCCCCACTACAAACAAGCTGATAGCTGATTGGTTGAAAACAAACAACCTACAATTTTTTAGGAAAGGAAGGAAAAAGTCGCGTGTCTTTCTTTCAATAGTAAAACCAGGCAGAAAAATTGTCCGAAACAGTTGTTCGTGTGAAACAAACGCCGTGTGATATGGGCCTAAAGAGATTGGTGCTAGAGGAAAAGAGGTGGAAGGCCCCTGGACTGCCCTTTTGAGATCTCCCTCTAAACTGGAGCAAATTCTTAATAGTTAGCAAGACCAGATAATACCTACAGATATATACAGATGCTGGCCTTGCTTCAACCTGTACCAGTATATGTAATTCAATAAACATTCAGTTTTGTGGATAGCATGGATATTTGATTTTACATAGTTAGTAAGAGTGGACAATAACGGTTCACCATGTTTACAATGACTGGCACAAATTTGGCAAAATCTTGTACCAGCTTTCATGCCTGACTGGAAAATACATAAGTATTCAATCTTCTGTACTTCTTGTCTCTAATACTCATCTTTTCTTACCAACAACTTGTAATATGAGAAAACTAAAATTATTCTTGTATTTGAAAGCTTTTAATACTAACACAAAATTATATCATATCAAAATAGTATCAACAACTTACCTGCAACAGCTTCAAAGACAAACATAAATGCACAGACAAAAATTTTTATTTCTATTTCCACTTGCAAGCTTACATACACAAATAGGCAGATGCAAATTACTGCTAACAGAGTAGCACAAGTTACTAGACACTGGACCAGAATGAACCATCCTAGAAAGAAACAGTATGATTTAAAATAAAAATTAAATTAAAAAAATTACTCAATTTAAATCCAAATTTTCTATTAAGAATATCCTACTAAAAATGCAGGATTGTTTTATATTTGGACAATGCAAAGCAGTGAACCATCTTAAGAATGCCAAACAGTATGTGCTTTGAATGAGACCAGTATTTCTGAGAACATAAACACTAACATTAAACATTACTTAAGTCAACTACTTTAACAGAGGACCATAATCATGTGGAACCATTAATGGCCATCACAGAAAGGGTTTATTGTATGTACATTTCTTAGTATATATAACTTCAGTTGAGAATAAGATATCAGCTTCATAATTTTCTGATGCGATATCAACAGAAATTCTGTTGTTTACCTTTAACATGTCAAATCATTTAATTTTCAAAGCTGTGCCGGCATTCTGAAGATCTATATACATATAAATGAGCAAGATACAATTTTGGCTGTAATTTGTAGCATCTCCTTAAGTCTTCTTTTCAATTTAGTTATTTTCACTTTCTGTTTCTAAATACGATTAAATACCTTTTACAGACGTTTACGAAGTGTATAATTTCAAAATCGATCCAGCAAAAAAGCTATTTCTCATTAACTTCTTCAATCTCAGGAATGGCACCACAGCCAGTGCAAATTTATCAGGTGGCAGAATTTAAGGGTAACAAAGTTTTTTTTTTTTTTTAAATTTAGGGGGGGCAATGGGCAGCAGAAATTAAAAGCTGTACAAACTGCACTGGGTTGCAAATGCATAATGCAGATTCTGTTCCATTTTTAAAGATTTTAAAACTTCATATGCTTGCACCATTTTCAGTTCCTAATTTGAGGTTCTTCCTAACAGCTTGATTTCAAGAATTTCCAAGTTCTTCAAAACAAACTAGCTGAAGATTGAGTGAATAAAATCACTTAACAACAGCATATCCATATCTAGCATATCTGTGGGTTCAAATCCTGGAGAAAGGATGAGCTGCAATAACTATTTTCATAGTTTTTTTTCCCATCTGTAACATGAATTGAACTAGTTTCCTTTAGAAAATCTTCCATGAAGGTGACCCTTCCTTGGTAGTTAATCCTTGCATCTTTGCTTAATTAACAGAACTCTGAATGATAAAATTATATATACATTAAAATCTAACACACACTTCTAAATTTAAGACTGTATTTTGATAATATATATCAATCAATATATGTATATTGCATTCTTATTACAATGAATCCAAAATGAAAAATATGTATAATTCAAATCTATAGAGAAAATTATATACATTAAAATCTAACACTAATTTATAAATTTAAGACTGTATTTTGATAATGTACATCAATCAATATATGCATATGTATATTGCATTCTTGTTGCAATGAGTCCAAAATGAAAAATATGTATAGTTCAAATGTATAGAGATCTTCTGCTTTCTTGCATTAGATTTATTAGGTTTTTCATTGATATATTTCACCCATTGTGTTGTTTGCGTAATAAGTTTTAAATGTAGACATAGCTTATTGATCAAATGACTATCAATGAAACAGCATTTGCTGGCAAGAAGATATAGTGATAATCGAAAGTATCTTTATAAGCACAAAATGCAGATTTTTCATAAACCATTTAATGAAATAGAATGAAGTTATGTGGAGCAATACAGAGCATCATAACACATTAATACAATGAAACTGTATAAAGGGGACTGGAAAATAATATCATTTCTGTGCATGCCAGTATTTGTTTATCATTTATCATCACATTCAATGCAAAGGATAGAGTGCCTTCTAAAAAATTAAATCTCCTTTCTCCCCCCCCCAAAAAAAAAATTGGGGGTGAAATGGCCAGTCAAATACCAGAAGAGGTGTTGTATGCTTTTTGTGTTTCATAGGAGTAATAGCAACTAAAAATATTTGTGATGTTTATTCAAATGCATTAAATGTTTGTAAACGCCCAAGATGGTTTTCTAAGTTCAGATCTGGTAATTTTAATCCTTTTGGTCCTCTTTCTGACTCGTATCAATCAGGATGGCCAACAACTTTAGACAATGGCATGTTAAGGGTAAATGCAGAAGCAAATCTGTGTCAGACAATCCAGTAACTGTCAGACATTCTTAACCAACCTGGCTGACCATAAAAGAACATTTGCAGCAGATTGGTAAAGTTAAGTACAGCAGGTGTTTGGATCCCATCCAATGTAAACAAAGTTAACCAATCCATCACATGCAACTTATTGCTTCAATGGCTTAATAAAGAAACTTTTGTTTTAATCACTTGATCACTAGAGATGAAAAATGGGTCCTCTATGATAATCCAAAACAGAAAAGGCAGTGGTTCTCTCCAAATGAATTGCCATGAAGTACTGTTAAGCCAGAGTTACATCCAAAAAAAAAAGTTGGCTGATCTTTGGAATGTGGTAACTGGTAGTTTGGCGACATTTTGGAGGCGATAAAGGTTACTACCTAGGACTTTGGCAATAATGTGAGAAGTCCTTAGTTCCGATTACACATTATTTTGTGTGAGGGAAATGAGAGATCATGAGATATGTCATGTGACATTAATGGACGAATTACAGTTCTTTAATCGGAAAAGGGGGGGGGGAATTTGGAAAACTGTAGTACTATATTATTTTGTATTAAGCTTCATTGTGTGTTGTGTGAAATAGTGGAAGTGTGCGTGTCACGTAATGAAGATTCTGAAGATTAGGTAAGTTAGTATTTTTAATCATTTGAGGATATTATTTTTATGCATTGTTCTAAATGTAAGGTGTAAATAAGTTAATATGGTATTATTGGAAAATTATTAGCAGCAATGATTTAGTTTAAAGTAATTAGGATTGTAATCTAATTTTTATTAATTTAATGTATGTGCTTATTTATATTTTAAGTAGTGTTTTTTAATTTAATTATATTTTAATTTAATGATCGTGATTTTGTGAGTTACATGTTTGTAGTATTTTGGAATACGTTGAGCATTTTCATGAAGTTTTTCTAATTTATGAGAAAAAAGCAGTGTACATGGATATAGTGAAGAGTGTGCGCAATGCCATTTTTGTGCAATTCTGGGATGTTTTTTTAAGTAAAAATAAGTCGACGTGTACATGGTTTAGTGATATTCTAATTAAATTATACTTATTTTGTGAATTTTATGTTTGTAGGAATTTGGTATACGTTTCATTTGAAGTAAACGTGTATGGAAATAATTTAAATATTTGACACTAAGTATTTGTAAGCATTTGTAATGTTTGCGGTATGAATTCGGTGGTGACGTTTATAATATAATAGATAATTTAGAGGTAAAAGTTTTTGGATATTTTATTTATTTTATACGTGGAAATGTTCATCCTTGGAAAGGGTATATACTTTTTCGCGATAAGGTAATTTCATATATGTGCTTTTTACTGAGTTTAAAGATTCACAGATTTTTTTTGCATTTTCGTGCAAATTTTTGTAATTTATGAGAAAATAGCAATGTAGATGGATAAAGTTAAGAGTGTGCGCAATGCCATTTTTGTGCAATTCTGGGATTTTTTTTAAGTAAAAATAAGTCGTCGTGTAAATGGTTTATGTGTATGTGCTATTCTGAAAAACGCGCAAGGAGTTTGCGATTGTGCACTTTTTCCCAATTTTGCAGTTAATACAGTCAAAAGTCCTTAATTCGGATACCCATAATCCGGAATGATCTATAATCCGGACCTCAAAGCTACAAACTTTCTGCGCATGCGTCGCATTCACGCATGCGCACAGGCGTTTACGAGTGCGCGTAAGACCTTTACGGATGCGAATATGTTTTTGCGCATGCGCGTTTAATGTGTAACGGACGGTATAATCTAAGCAAAAATTATTTAATTCAGTTAATGTTGCAGATTGCGTTGTTCCTTAATCTTCGAATTGGATCCGGCTTATTATTTTTTGCGGACTGTTAGAGCAATTTCATAAAAGTAAGCTTGAACTTTCGATTATGTCAAATAGAATTTCCGATATATATTTACTAATATGTAATTTGTATCTACAAACCGAAAGTATGTTTTGAAATCCGAAATTTGTTTATCAATTTCATGCCGCGGATTGGAAGTTGATCTGTCAGCACTATCCTTATCTTCAGGGCAGATGTTTTTATTTTATTTGGCTTATAATTCCTTACTAAGTGTAGTATTTCATCTGGATGTACTCCGTCTTTGATATGATTTAAATCAAGTTCCTCGTCATTATAATTCGCTTCCGATAGTGAAGAAAGTGACCCACAGGTTATTGAAAACGAAAACATTTCGATTGACAAATTAGTCGGTATTCTCAACACAGCAATTATAGGACTTGAACAGCGGAACTTTGTAACTAAAACAAGAAATTATGTCTGTTTAATAGAATTAAAGAGAAAGTATCACATGAAACGAAGTAACTTACATTGAAAGAAATGTTTAATAAAGTAAAGAAATAAATATTAAGCTTTTTCTTTTTGTAAATTTTGATCATAATTGTTCTTTATTTCATAAATTACGGTTTCATATTTTTAATTTTGTAATTTCTGCATGCCATCTTACCAGATTTAAACTGATTATCTATAATCCAGAATCGCCGAAGTCCCGACGAGTCCGGATTAACGACTTTTGACTGTATTTGTCATGATTAAGCAGTTTTGTTACATAAAATTTCTAGCATAAGTGTAATTCGGCTAGTAGATGGTTGGAAAAAGTGTTCAGTAAATAAACAGAAAAGAAACATGTGTTTACTTCGTGAAGACAAAATGGCGGCGAAAAAAAAAATAGAGGGTTGCTGTAGCAGAGTTGGTCGCCAAAAAATCGCCAAGTTACCATAATCCAAAGATCAACCAAAAAGTCTTGATTGACAATTTAAAGGGAATTCTCAATGCAGCAACTACATAACTCGAACAGTGGAACTCTGTAACTAAACAAGAAATTATGTCTATCTGCAGAATTAAAGAGAAAGTATTAGAATACAAAATGCAGTAAATTAAACTTCTTGCACTGAAAGCCATATTTGGATTATGGTAACTTGGCGATTTTTTGGCGACCAACCATGCTACAGCAACCTGCTAGTTTTTGTTTGGACGCCATTTTGTTTTAACAAAGTGTTTTTTTTTACTCAACATTTTTTACCACCAATCTGCTAGCCGAATTACATTTATGCTAGAACTTTTATGGAACAAAAGTGTTTAATCATGACGTAGATTAGCTGCGAAATTGGGAGAAAGTGCAGAATCGCAAACTGCTTGCCGCGTTTTTAAGAATTGCACATACACGGTATCCATGTACACGTCGACCTATTTTCACTTAAAAAAACATCCCAGAATTGTACAAAAATGGCATTGCGCACACTCTGGACTTTATCCATGTACACTGCTAAAGTCCTAGTTAGTAACCTTTATCGCCTTACCAAAATGTTGCCAAACTACCTCTTACCATATTCCAAAGATTAGCCCAATTTTTAAAACAAATATCAAGCTTTTATTTATTTATTTATTTGTAAATTTTGATTTTCTTAGGGTCATAAATGCTTTATTTCATTAATCACAAACTGATCATCTAATATCTGGAAAAATTGCAAATCAAAAATTGCCAAAGACCTGACAAGTCTGGATCTTGGACTTTGACTCCCTATATCTGTTTATTATTACAAATAGATTCACACGGAAATATTTCATGTTCCTGGCTTCCTTGAAATGTAAACATGCTTAAAATCAAACATTAAAATAAGTTTTAACTCGTAACTGAAAAGAACAGAAAATTAACTTTTGCAGCCTCTTCAGTTCCTGTACCAATTGAAGCATACTTTCTTTTGTTCTCAAGTCAGTTAAAAACAAACCACTGGCTTTTTAACATAAAGGTTTTTCTTAACACACCTTCTGTACACAAACTGCTGTAATATAAAAATTCTAGTTATGGCTCTATGCTCCAAATTTAAACTGTAAAAGCTAAATAACTTCTAAAATTCTTCTTCAAGTTTTCACAAACAGTGACCACTTACCAATTGTTTTTCTTTGATGACTCTGTCCTAACTTCCTAACTATAATTTTGGAGTCTTATATTGTTTCCATGAGACAAGCACTGCGTTAAAACATTTAATACTATTTGATACTTTGATACGAACATGATTATGCAGGGTTTCTACTGCAACAGCAGTACTTCCCTGCAACCTGACATGTTTCCACGATTTAGTTTCAAAACGTCGTAATAATGTAGTTAAGTTCGAGAAAATGGTAGAAGTGTAAAAGACCAGTACTTCCAAAAGTCGTTACCCACTGAATATCGAACTGACAATCTGCAGATCTGTAGGTCTATGCTGTACCCGTTTGGTACTCTGTTGTTAATCATATTTCTTGGTCTGCTTTGCAATTAATAACAGCCTTCCATCTCAAAAATTCTTCCAAATGATAAGCATTTTATCATTCATCAATGCATGGTAAAAATGTGGATGAAATATTTCTTCAGTAATAAATAGTGCTTAAAGAAAAATTATATGGCTAAATATGTAAATATGATGAAATTATGTATATTTTTTACATTTACGTTAATTTTTATTAGCAAATAAATAACAAACAAGTCTATGTGTCCCTTAGTAAACAGAAATAGCAGTTATCAGACACACTATTTTAGCCCATGAGTTTAGTGTATAGATTATGAGCCAAAAAAATCCATAAACCAAACCACTATTTTGGCATTTTTATAAGACTGTGGGAAACACTAGTGCAAAAATAATAAAAACTTTTAATTTCATAATTTCAAATACCTGTTTTTTTTAAACCATATATTATTTCAACACAAAAAACTTTCATATGACAGTAATTTCACAAAATTTTAAGATCTCATACCATGCCAGGAAGAAAAATAAAAGCATAGATGTATTTATATGTATAGTCCCGCAAGCAGTAAAGCAGTTTGGATTTTCTTACCAAATTCTCAGCACTTTTATGAATCTATGAAACTAAGACCAGAAAACATTATACCTGGTTGTAACCAGTTCCTAATACTTTCAGATTTATGGCCGTGTATCGAGTAACAACCATCGAATACGTTATCATACTGCAATGAAGGATGTTGATAGTTTTTGAAACAGATTCGCCATAATCCCATTCGAACAAAATCTGAATCTTGCTTTGATACTAGCCAATAAGGGCTCGCTAATGCAATAATTAAACATGCACAAGCTACTGCTGCGAAAACAAAAGCGCTTATTGCAAACGGCGAAGTTTTGCAGTTTCGAAAACTTGACCAAGACCTCATTTTCATTTTACATAATTTCACAGACAACAATTTTCATGGCTAATTTTTGCTTGCTACGATCGATCGGAATAAATAACAAACTACACACGGCCAATGTTTACATTTGTAATATATAGACAGATAGACAGTATATACTGATGTCTTATTTTGCACTCGCTTAGTCTTTCTGCCCATAGGGAGAAAAATCAAGCTTAGGTGCAAAATTTGTTTGAGAGAAAAATAATTTCGAAGCATTTAATTCGATTTTTTTTTAAAAAAAGAAGAAAAAATAATAGAGAAATATAGTATATATAGGGAAAAAAATATGGTACTTACGTATTATCGCAACCAGGTTGGCGCGATTTGTAAGTTTGAGTAAAAAAGTATGAATAGAAAAAAATGTACATTTATTAATTACAGATAATTTTTAATACAGTTTTTTATATTATTTTGTTTTAAAATACAAAATAGCAATTAAACCCTTCCGGTTTCGAATTTGAATAAGTTGCAGAATTATTTTTTCGGCGGAAATCTTTTGGCTATTCCTTTTAGCACTGATTGAAAACCGTCTTCGCCATTAACAGCTTGAGCTTGGCGCCATATAATTCCAATCTATAACAGTTTTGTCAGCAATTCCCATCTCTTCTGCACAAAATTTAATTGAGGTTAACTCTTTACACCAACAATAAATGAAGCGCACCGCTGTCACAAATGAAATTCGGCTACCTTCAAACCAATTTCCGGTTCTCACGGATCCATTACACCGGAACTGAGAAAGTAGAACTTTTAGCTCAGCATCTGGAATCTCAGTTCTGCATTAACAACATTTCAGACTCAGACACTGAACAGCTTATTGCTGACTTCCACTCCAATCTTACAACACAGCCATGCACAGACAACATTATCTCAGCCATGCCATCGGAGGTCTGTCCCTATATCATGCGAATTGCGAAAAGGAAGAGCCCTGGAGTAGACGGTGTCACAAATGAGATGATCAAGCACTTCCCTGTCAAGATAATACTCTACTTCACCAAGTTAGTGAATATCATACTACGATGGCAATACTTCCCAACTTGTTGGAAAACTGCCAAGATTGTCCCTCTGCTAAAGCCCAACAAGCCTGCGACTGCTCCTGAGAGTTACCGACCAATCAGTTTGCTAAGCTCAATTAGCAAAATCGTGGAAGCAGTTATTCTACATAGACTAAACATCTTCCTGGATGAGCAGAAGATCCTCATACCCTATCAGTTTGGGTTTAGGCGTAAGCACTCGACAACGCATCAACTCTACAGAGTTGTTGAGTTAATAAGCAGTGGGATGCAACAACATCGTGTCACTGGTGGACTTTTCTTAGATGTCGCCAAAGCCTTCGATAGAGTATGGCTGTATGCCCTCATATACAAATTACACAACCTGGGACTCCCAGGCTACATCACAAACATAATTAAATCCTACCTAACCGGTAGACACTTTGTCGTTCATGTTTCTGGTTCATTATCCACAAACCGGCCTATACGGGCTGGTGTTCCACATGGATCCCTTCTGGGCCCTACCCTATTCAATATTTACGTGAACGACATCCCCACTACACACAACACAACAGCCATGTATGAAGACGACACAGCGATCCTTACGCAAAGTGCATTTGTTAGTTCAGCAATACAACAGCTACAACACCACATCCACTCGCTAGAGACTTGGCTGACCAAATGGAAAGTCAAAGTGAATGTCGACAAGACACATGCCATACTGTTTACTACTAAGAAGAATTTCCCGACTCACCTGCAAATGTATGGTGTAGACATTCCCTGGGTCAAGCAGGTCCCTTATCTTGGGGTGATCCTCAGTAAATCTCTTACATGGAACCCACACGTTACACATATTCTCAGGAAGTTTCGAGCTAGTAAAGCTTCACTCTTCCCCTTAATTGCTCGAAACAGTGTTCTATCTATTGATAATAAATTGCTCATTTACAAAACCATGTTGCGTCCAGTTCTTAGTTATGCATGCCCCGTCTGGGCATACTCGTGCAAAAGTTTGAGAAGGCAGTTACAAGCTGCCCAAAACGGGGTATTGCGTATGATATGTAATGCCCCCTGGTACATTCGGAATAGCCAAATTCGTAAAGAGTTAAGAATAGAGGATCTTTGTGATTTTTATTGCCGCCTATCTAGGGCATTTTATGATAAACAGGAACTTCTGGACAATCCTGTGGTTGTTAACTATTGTTATGATACTAGGGACCTCAATTTCAGTAAGCGCCCAAGGGCGATCCTAAATGTTAGTAATGTGTAATTTTGTATATGTGTTATGCAAATTGTTGCTCAGATTCTGTATTGTATATTGTTCTTTTTTCCTCCTGATTGCTTTTTGTTTTTACTAGTGGCACTAAGGCGTCGCACTTCGTATTTTGTTTCTCTGTGTGTACATGTATTCTTCTGTGAAATAGTTGTTAATAAATAGTTAATTATGTATGGATTAGTAATTAGGTACTTAAGGAAAAAATATGTATTTAACTATTAGCAATTATGAATTTAAACTCTTGCTCATTTAATTATTTAGCACATTCAGTTATATTTCTCATAATTCGAAACTTTTATCATGTTATTCGATGAGGGGTAGGGCTATGGCGCCCAGGCACCCTGGTGGTTAAGCACCGCAGTTCAACACCCAAATGTTGATTGCACTCTTCGACGTTACATTTCCAGAAGATTTGCTTTCCAAAATACAGTTTCATTTTATGAGAATTTTTACAAGTACGTTCGTTCGGTATATTTCCATATCCCTGCAACAATTCAACAGCATCTTTTTCACTCGCAGGCAGATCCCAAATACCCATAGTTAAAGTATTTCAAGGCATTCAATCTAACCAGTAAGAAAAATAATTTCTTTACGAAAAACTACGTATAACACGTAGGGTTGCCGTAAGTAGGGTCGCCAAATTTGGCAATTTATGCGAATTTTGGCCTGGTTGCGTTAATACGTAAGTACCAAAAAGGATATAATTATGGGAATAAATAAGATAGAGAAGAAGAAAGAGAAGCATGAAGTAAATTAGTCATGAATGCACACTAATGTTAAAATACGGAGAAGTCCATGAGACGTGTTACCTTATAATGAGGTTGGACAGTGATGTAGGTCAGTTTTCTAGGGCAACAATTTTCACAGAAAGTCAAAATCATTTGCAAATAGTACATGACAGTCTTAAAAAGAGCTTATTATATTTACATCATCTTCAAGTTGAACATCAGTGAATGAAATAAAGTACTCTGTTTATATATGTAACTTCATTTTACTAGTTATACTAATTTAAGACATTTCCTTATTTCAATGTCATTTACAGAGTTAATGATATTTTCATTTTATTGTGCAGCATTTAAAGACAACCCTATTCCAACAAATTACAAAGTTATACCCAACTTCAACTAAAAGACCCAATTCAACTAAAATGAAAATTAAGCATTATCATACAGTAATATGCAGATAAAAAACATTAGACAATGCTACAATTTAGTTCATAATATATGTTTATCATGGACTCAGTAATTTCAACAGTCCAGAAAAATTTTGATAATGTGGATGTGCTTTTTAATTAATTAAAAAGGCTCATCAGCCACTGAGTAATAAGTCATTAAATGCTCGTAATTCAACCCAGCGGACGAGCTGCATTGAATTACATTGAAAAACCATTTAGCATGGGTTTTTCCCAATGTGTAACGTGGATACCAGACAGTTTCCCTAAGAAAATCCTCCAAAAGCATCCCTTCCCTTTAGAAAAGATAGCCATCATGTGCTTTGCAATAATCAAACAAACTAATTAATTAGATAATTATAAAATATTATTTCTCCTGTATTCTCTCTTAAGTACGCAGTAATACCTAAAAATTTTTAATGAGAACAATATTTTTTTATGTTAATAGAAACTGATATTGCATCGGCTTTTGGCTATAAGATAAAACAAACTAATTGTTTATAGATAATAAAAAGTTTATAGTACGTAATAACAAAAATACTGTAGGTCTAAGTTTTTCTTTAAAAAGCTTTATAAACTGAGTCTATTCAATTAAACACAATGGATATATGTCATGTATATATTTAAATAACTTAAGTCCTGTCAGTTGGATTTAATAAATATTGGTCTCTTTCATTAAAAATTTAGCCCAATTGACACACACATAGCAGTTGGGTCTGTTTTATTAAAACAGTTACACAATTCAGTATAACAAAAGCTTCAGAAAATCTAACCCAGTAAAAACAGTTCTCCTGTATTTTTTTCTCCAATTAAGAAATATTTTTTTTTTTTTTTTTTTTTTTAATCACATAAAAATTTTGCTTCTATTACACAAAAATGTCACCAGCTGATACCAGTAGCTCATAGCAATAAATCTTTGTTAATGTAAAATAAAATGTTCTTTCTTTGTTTAAATAAATGTTCAAATCTTTGTTAATGTTAATCTTATGTTAAATAAAATTACATAAGCATATTAAAAGCTCTACTATTTATATTTCTTTTTTTAATGTAAAATTGCATAATAGAAAAATATCAAAAAATTAAAAAAGGTCATAACCATTTAAACAAAATTTTAAAAAATATATGTATTTAGAAACTTGCAGTTTATATGTTACTTTTGCATCAACGATAGAATGGCTGGTTAACTGCCATTTAGCATGTTTGCTGTTAAGATTCACTACTGTTTCGCTCAGTTCTAGTTTTGAGAAAACACCCTTTAAGGGTACCCTACTGTAAAACTATTACATAGACTCCAACCTTCAGCAAACCTTGTCAGTAGTCAACGCGCGAACGACATTTTTACAACTTTGAAAATGTGCGCGTAGCATATGTTGTAATTAACCATTCATTAATTTTAAATTATATATTAATTGTAATCAATTTTATTACATTTAAAAATCCATATACATATAAAAAACTGAATAATTAAAAATATACCTTGTAAATTATATGCACATTTAATTAGAAATTTTCTTTTAACTCCTCAAGCATTCACTAATAAAAAGTACTTCAAATCACTACTAATCATAGAAAAAATCAGAAGCTATAAATCATATCTTTATTCTGGATATGATTTTCTACAGGGAAATAAAATTTAAATAACCAAGAATGATACATATAAGTATTAAACAAAATACGCATAATTTATGAATGCAAAGATTTATATGTAGCATGCTTAGCAAGCTTAAATTTTGATTTTGAGAATGTTTTTTTATAACACAGTTCTTCATTTGCCTGCATATTTTTTTTTTCAATCAAAACTGCTTCAAGAGTTTTAAGACCTAAATTTGGTCGAAATTCCGTCTGATTTTTTTTAACAATAGAAAAAATTCTTTCGCAAGCTGCATTTGAATGAGGTATTATTAAGACAGCAAGCATTACAGAAGGCAATACTTTGTATTTAATACACCCATTCATATTTTTTAATTTGGCAATTTCTCCCCATGCTATATCAATACGCAAATCTACAATTTCTTTCAAATCATCTACTTGATACATGGAAAATTCAATTTCTACTTGATTAAGACATTTTTCATCAATAATGGATTGAAAAGTATTCATCAAGTAAAGAACAGATGAAAATGAGACTTCAGTTCTCAAGTTGATGTCAGCAACTTCAGCATGTTTTAGAAATAGGATCACTCAGTGGAAATTTATCAATTATATATGAACATGCAGTTACAAAAAAAGCTCGCACAGAATTGAAAAATGATTTCACTTCACTTTCATTCAACTTGGCATTTTTTTAAATATAGTCTTGTTTCCGCACCAATCACTAAATTTTCATTTTCTTTTTGTTTACTATACTTCTTGAAATGGAATAGACGTTAGAGTAACATCTTTCATTTTCTTTAGAAATTACTGATGGTTTTACGAATCTAACAAATAAATTCATTAAAAGTTGTTGTTGCAAATTAATATTTACTGTTATAAACAAAGGCAAAGTATTTTTCAAAAATAACAAGTACAATTTGGTGGTCGGTGACTGTAAAATTTTTTTAATGTTTTGCAATCTCTTTCCTTCATTCTCACTGTTATCTGGTTTATCTCCAAAAAAATTTATCACAGCATCCCACTGTTCCAAAATCCTTGTTATAGATTCTAAAAGAGACAACCATCTCGTACTGCAATATTTCAAAATTTTATGAGATTTTGCATTCTGTCCCAAAATTTGTTGAGCAACTTTGAAGCTATGCTTCCGTTTTGAACTTTTCTCCAAGTAAAAATATATATCTATTATCAACATTTCAATTTCTGAGCCAATTAATTTTTCAGTAGCTTTTTTTGCAGCTATATGCAAGAGGTGGCACGGACAACCTTGGGTGATTATACTTGGTTGATGCATTTTGATAAATGATGCTACACCTTTAAACTTTCCAATCATATTACTAGCATTATCTGAAGAAAATGATAAGCAATTTTTCCATTCTAAACCTTTGTTTTTAAAAGTTTTCATTTATACAATTAAAAATACCTTCTCCTGTATTATTCGTGCATTCTAAAATAGAAATCAATGAAGTAATTATCACTCCCTTTTCTTTACTGTAGTATGTTATAACCAATGGGTACAGTTTGTTATCATTACTTCCATCAGTACTTAGAGAAAATGATGTACTGCACACTGATTTTATAATATCAGCAACAGTATTTTCTGCAAGTGTTTTCACAATAGCAGCAGTTTTGGTATGACCGCAGCTAAATTTTTTTGCTATGGCAGAATCCGGAAACATTGCTTTGAAAAGCTCTTTGGAATGATCCGAAACAGAAAGCGGTAGATTATGTTCAATTAAAAAACGAACAAAATAGCATTCGGCTTTTATAGGATCTGTTTCATCATCTTTTATTAAGAAATTTGTTATTTCTTTAGACTTTACGGCACCAAGTTCTATATGCTTTTGAGAAAACACATGCCGTTTACAGTCATCTTTTCCGCCATGAGCAACTGAGAAGTCTTTGTTGCATACACTGCAGTGTGCGTGATTCACAGAAATTTCGGACGCTTTAATGCATGGAAATTCTGAAGAATATGAATCTTTAAACTTCTGCTTTGATAATTTTGGCTTCTTCGTTCGAGGCAGCATTATGATTAAAATCTTTCACCTGATTCACAGTTCACAAGACACACGCTAAGCTCTCCCGCCGTAAACTACACACAATGCAGCCTAAACACGCATCAGCGAGGAACCTGGGAGACAGACAATTGGGTGGAACTATTGATAAGTCGTTAACGGTTGGAGTTACTGATCTACGATTGGCTAATTCTTCAAAACTAGGAACGCACTCAACACGTGATATATGATAACACGAGTATTCAGCCAATCATCGGATGAATTAGTTGGTTCCGTTTTGCGTACTGGTTCTCCTGCTCTTGTTTCTGTAAAATCCGTAGTTTTTTCCATACTTTCCGTAGCTCATAGTTTTTCATGAATTTCCGTAGAAACTACGGAGAATTCGTAGTAGTTGGAGTCTATGCTATTACTATAACTATAACTATTTGATTTTGTTTTGAATATAGATGGCAGAATACACAAGAAGTACAGTTAGAAATTTTGCAATCAGCCAGTTATAAGGGGTTAGAAAAATAAATTGCAAAATGTTAAGAAGTCCAGATAGCTTTTTAAATTACTCTTCTATCTTGATCAGCAATACAAGATAAGTGATAAAGAAAATATAAGAAAATAAAAGACCTTACTTATCAAATGGTAACAATACCCTTTAATGTTTCTTATCTTAATTTGTAATTCACAAGATTTTATTGCTAGTTGAAAATAGTAACATCTCTTCAAAGTGTAACTTTTCTTCTGATTCTCAATTGAAAATAGTAATATTTCTTCACATTTACAATTAATGAAATTGACTAAATGTTAAACATTTTCTTAACTTTAGAATTTTTTTACATCATAATGCTTGTTTCCATATTATCTCATACCTTATGTTATCTTTGTTTCATTTAAAATTTTGAAGTACTTTTGCAAATTTGTCAGACTTCGTTACTTTGTATACATTACATATACTCACATGTGATACTAATTAAGCTTATATATTCCCACATTGTTGTTTTAAATATTAAAGGACATTACCATTAATCTCCATAAATTATTAATATCAAATACTTTATCTTAAAATGGTTTAAAAGTCATTTCTAAAGAGAAATTACAAAGAAAACAACACAGACATAGCTTTAAATAAATATTTTATTTAGTAAAATAATAAAAATTCTTTTGCTATATGATTCCCAATATGCAAAGACGATAAAATATAAACAGACAAAAAAATGAAAACAATATAAAACTTTAACCATAACTAAAACCTAAGTTCTCCCCATTAATATTTCTAAAATCTTGTTTATTAAAATCACTAATATAACTTAGATTGTTTATAAAAAAATTACTACATTCCTGAATTTACATTACTTCAGATAAAACAGTTAAACACTACAGAAAAGAAAATATAAATGATAAATATTTTTTGACACATTCTAACAAACAAATACAGAGATTTCTTTTCAAATAATTATACATTTAATATAAATGGACGGAGATATTTCAGCTAAGTGCGTTAACAATAAATGTAATACTCTTTATCTAACAAAATATATACACAACACTGAAAGTATAAATTCTGTACTTTAAAACAAAATACAAGAGATTCATCAAGAAAACTATTTTGTAAAAAAATCATTATAAAAATAGATATAACTATGTGCAAAATACTGGAATGTGTTAGAAATTCATCTCTGACATTTTTCATCTTTGTCAACTTTCATAAATAAACAGATGCTAAACATTAGATGATAAAAAAGTACCATCTGAATTATAGTTGACAGGAATGATAATGTTTTTTTTTTTTTTAATGAACATCCTAAACTTTAGTATGAGTTTGTTCCATATGATATGCTACATGGTGGTTCAATGCATCTTCCCTTTTCTTCGCTTTACTGGCTTCAATGAAAAATAAGATTGAGCTGATGTAGGTGAAAAATGAACCAACAACTCCAAGAGCAAATGACCATGATAAATAATTATGGTCTGGATCAGGCATCCAGTCTCGACCATCTCCATGAATGCCAAAGACAATAATGGCCAATGTGCAACATACAGCTAAAAAAAAAAAAAATTTCAGTAAAAATTAATAAGTGTTAACATAAAAGTAGCAAATTCTACATATATTCTATTATTTTACATTATACAATATTTTTTTTAATTCTACAATTTTATAAAAGAGCAATTAGTATAATACCGAGTAATAATTTATAAGCAAATTGGTATATATAACAGATACTTTAGTATTTTCACAGAACATTTATCCATCTGTATTATCTTAAATCAAATGGTGCCTTTAAAAAAAGTACACTATAATAAAGTACCTTTGGAATTTAAAATTATACAAAATAGCAACCTAATATTGATTTAGATTTTAAATAAAACTCTTATTGTTTTAGAGGCAAAAATTCTTTTGCTGATGATGAAAAGGGACCTATGACTGATTGGTCTGAAAATTAATAACAGTTTTATTTTCAGTCTCTCAGTAACGTCAATCTAAAGTTGCTATTTTGCCTAATTTAAAATTTTTAACTGATGTATTTCTCTTCCAATTAGATTTGTGGTACCTTCAGGATTGCTTTTGTATATGCACCAATAAGCATAATTAAAGCCCAGTAAAACTATTTCATATCGTACAAAAAAGATTAGTTTAGTTTAATTTTAAATTATACAAGCTGAATAATCAAATACAGTTTCAGTTGACTCACAGAAAAAACAATTTTAAAAAGATATAACACTTGTTAAGAGAAAGTGCATAACTAGCTTAAATGGACCAATTAAAGATTTCATTCACCATGAATGCATAAAAATTAATTTCAATGTTTTACTTTACATAGAAATGAGTTATATGCTTAGGCAAATAAAGTCTTTCTTTAATTTGGCCAAAGTGTACTTTTTTAATAGAAATATGTTTTAAATAAATAAAACAGTATATGCATTGTTAGAATAAAAAATGATAAATAAAAAATAAAACTGTCTCACCACACTGCATAAAATATATGTTTGGCTTATGGATGAAAAATATTTGAATTATATGGAATTTTCAAATACATGGGACAGGCTGTAGCCTTAATATGTATATGCACTGTAAAATAAAAATTATTATACACACTGTTCAAAATTATGTTGCTTTATCTTTTGGGCAGATTATAGCACCAATACACTTGAGAAGGGATTTGATTACGTGTGGAAAGAGAGATAGTGGTATTATCAATCACCAATGTAGCCGTTTTCACAGTAAACCTGTCACAAAGCATGGTGATGCATTCAGGGAGTAAATAGACTATTGCAGGCAATCCCACAGGTGCTTGAGAAGATTCATATCTGGGGGCCTTGGAAGCCAGGACAGTATTTGAATCTCACTCCTACATATTTGCTGAATCATTCCTGTGCAACTATAACTGATGGACACATGAAGGGATAATATAGATGATTAACCAGCAGCTTAATGTAGACTGAGTTTGTTAGTGTTCTGATATTGATGACAAGACCTAACGAGGATTATGTAAAGGTGCCTCATTCAGTTATACTGCCATCACAGAGCTACAGGATATTTGCTTGACATGCAATCTTTTGCATGGTTTATGCCACACACAAACTCTATTATCCACATGCAGCCAGAGTCGTAGCTAGGGTTTTCAGCGCCCAGGGACAACTGAAGATTTTGTGCCACATACTGCTTGCCAAGGATGGAAAACAATTCTAAAATGTAGTAACATCAGTTTGGCGCCCCTTGGATTCTGCGCCCGGGGACAGATGCCCCCTTTACCCCCCTCTAGATACGCCCCTGCATGCAGCAAATAGAATCTCAGTTCACTGGACCAGACAATATGTTTCCAGGGTTAAATCATCCAGTTTCAGTGCAATCTGACAAACTGCAGCTGCAGCTATCACTGTTTTAATGTTAGCGTTAGAGCTCGAGATGACTGTTAGCTATTATATCTAAGATGCACCAACTGCCAATGAACAGTCTTCATACAGACGTTGGACAAAGCATATGCTTTAAACTATGTTGTAACCTGATGTGCTTCTTGACATCAATATAATGCAACCAAGTCACTGAGCTCAATCTGGCTTAAAAATGTTAAAATATGCAAATTATAGAAAAAGATTTCTTGCTCCAGTAATACAAATCTTTAACACTGCATGAGCCCTTTATAGAAATTGTCAGTTTCTGCTAAAATCCCCTCCCCCATTTTTTAAATGCATATATAACAATCATTTTACAAAAAGTTGCTATTAAAATGAATAAAAAAGGGACCTTTGTTTTAAACAAAAATAAACAGGCTTTATACAAATTTGGTTTTTAAATGTGTAATAGTTCTATTTTACATTTTATTTATTTGCTTAAACAATTTAAATGAAACTCTCAAAATTTATACAACCATTCTTCAGAAATGGAAGAGTATTTCACACTCCCTTTACTGTAGAGATGGAGAATTCAGCTGTTCCTGTTGTCTCATAACTGGTTTTGTCATTCATTTCATAATACACTGCTGGCTTTCCAAACTGCAACACCAAGCAAGATGAGAGATATCACAAAAAAATTTATTTAGTAGATAACATGTTGACCAAGTATCAAATGATTGAATTTATAGACTTCTGTGAAGCGTGGTTTCTTCCAGAATCAGTAGCCAGAGTTGCCGTCATTGTTGGACATCACCGCTGCCACATGCCTCGGCATTGATTCAAAGAGATTTTGGGTGTGTTCTTGGGATACACCAGACCAAGCAGCTTCCACACGTTACCAAAGTTGACCTGGTATGGCAGCTTGGGATATAATCTAGGTCAATCATTCAGCAACCATGGACCACATGTTTTCTATCAGCGAAAGATCCAGAGAGTGAGCCGGCCAGGGAAGCAATTCAATCTGGCGATTAACGAAGAACCCTTGGACAATGCTTGCCACATGTGGTCATGATTTATCCTGTTGAAATATGGCTGTGAGCAAGCCCTGAAGGTAAGGAAGGTCAACCGGCTCCAACACCTCACAGATGTAGCGTAAAGTACCAACAATGCCTACTAGAGGAGTACGAGAGTGATATCCAATACCGCCCCATACCATAATACCCAGTGCATAACGCAGCTGTTTAAGCATCTTCTCTCCATGGTGTCTCCAGACTCGAATCCGACCATCAAGGTGTTGCAGACAGAAGCGCGACTCGTCAGTAAAGACAATTTCATTTCATTCTCCCGTCCACATCCTTTTTTTATCGCACCATTGGCAGCGGAGACGTCTGTGGTCTGCGTCAAGGGTAGACGAAGCAATGGACGTCTTGCGGACAGACCACTCTGCTGTAAACATCGAATGGTACACTCAGACACTGGATGATGCGTTACAGACTGAATGTGCTGTGCTATGGTTCTTGATGTGACTAAGCGATGTGTCAATGCCATTTGCACAATGTTACTGTCATCATGCGAAGTGATGCACTGAGGTAGATGCGATCGAACACGTCGGTCCATCGTACCCTCCTGCATCCAACGGTCACATATCCACATTACTGTTGTTTGGTTTCGTCGAACACGACTACTGATTTTTCTCAAAGATAATCCATACTCTCGGTACCCCACTATCCTTCCTCTATCAAACTCAGATACTTGATCAAACAATAACCGCTGTTTACTACGAGGCATAATTTTTTTTTTTTTTTTTTTAACCACAAGAAAAACACAATTGCCGAACTTGAAATCGTCAAACACTTCAAGCCTTAAATAGCGCTTCGAAGTGACGGCACACGTAATGTGCGTCTGCGCTGAAATTATAATCATTTGCATATCTCACCTCCACTAATGCATGTTGTAAATTTCATGTTATTTGCATGCTTCCTTCAGGATGTTGCATTTACGGTGGCCAACAGTGTATTATTATTAACCCCTTCGAGCCGAGTAGCGAAAACGCACGTTTATCGCGGAAGCCGGCAGTGTCTTCCGCGAGCGTCTCTCCAGGGCCGGGGGCTTTTTTGCTACTAAGCCTAAATCCATGAAATTTCCAAAGTATCAACGCATTGTTTAATAATGCTCTATAGAGTATTTAAACGGCTTATGCTTTATAGATATTTATATATATATATATACGTTAATTACCTTATTTCTTGTTTAAATGCATATTTTACACATTTTATTTTAATTACTCACCATTTTATGACTTTTAACATTATACACCTGAAAACTAAATATATTACTTAAAATTCTCTTTTCGTATGAAAAATTTGAAAACAGGGACCTACACACAATCCTACGTTACATTCCTTGAACTCGTAATAACTCATTTGCCGTTTTGGAGGAATTTTCCGGGAATGTGAACAAACGAAGCATCGTCGTCTCATTTTCTTATCAGTCTCTTCTGAACAAAGTTTTGGAAAATGTCTTTCAGTTAATCTTTCAGAATCAATATCAGAATATCAGAATTTCAGAATCAATATCTGAATATTTTGCATCATTTCTGCTATTTCATGCTCTGTTAAACATTTTCGACGCTTCGACATTGAAACGATAAAAAAGAAAGAATTCACATCTAACAAGATCTAATTATTTTTTAAAAACTGAACTGTAAACAGAAATACTCAACGCTTTAGCGCATATAAAACTTCTACTTACAATAAACAACTAACACGTGCGAATAAAGTGCAATTTAAAGAGACATCATAAATCACGCCATTCGGAAACATTTAGTTCCCCGTTTGTTTATATAATCAAAAACACGTGTATGTGAGTCATGCTTCTCTCATTTTGAGTAGAAGGTCTAATGTACATGTATCTGAAACCATATGGACATACAGTGCCATGTTGTGGCAGAAATTATAGTTTGAAAAACGTTCCAAGGTACTGGCACAAATACGTGACAGTCGGTAGAGAACGCAACAATGCTCTGGCACGCCTGCGTGTCGGCCGGTAGATAAGTGTGTTCGTTGCTGGCACGTATACGTGACAGTCGGCACGAAGGGGTTAAAGATAATATTTTTAGATAAATTTCACCGCTTCTATTTTTATACACTAATATTTCCTTCAAATGATATAATTTAAACTACAGACATCTCTATAACCAATTATTAATAAATCTCAGAAAATTTTAAAGGTTCATAAATTCTTCATTTTTACGTTACATTTAAGTATATATCATATTCACTAATTTCCACAATATAAGAATTTTAAAATTATATAAAGTGTAAAATATATTTACCAGCTACTAAGGTTAGTGTTGCAATGACTCTTACAAATACGACATCTTGCTCAGGACTCATGCATAAGTGCACAGCTAGGATCAAAACACAAGCCACTAATAATGCAGTGAAACCAATGGTAAAGAATACTTGCACAGTGATGAAAAATGCTAAAAAGAAAAGTTTAGGATTACTTAATTATATTAGCATATATAACCCGATGCATATAAAAATACAACAATCAGATAATATTATTATTGATATTTTTAAAGCCGATAGTTACAAGTAAGAATTGATTAAACTACTAGAACTTAGTTATAATGCAGCAGAAAAATTGTTCATAAAGTACATAATATTTTATGAACAATATGGGTATAATCTTTAAAAAATTATACTCAAATTGTTCATAAAATATTATGTGCATATCTCTCAATAAGATTTATGCAAGAAAGGTTGAAATAATTTTTAAAATATTGTAAACAAATTATGAATGTAAAAACTTTGAAGAAATTTGAGTAAAAAGAATATGTTCAAATTGTTTTTAAGAACTTTTACTATTAAATTAAAAGATGTATTAAGAATGCTTATTGAAAGTTCCTACTCTTTTCCTGTTATTAATTTTAATAATAGGCTTTAAAATTTCCAATGCGCTTCAACTCCTACATGGCATCAACTTTAATCTGTCCAGGATTTTTTTGTTACGTGGCGTATATTAGCCTATAATATAAATATTTTATTTTTAACTTTCGGTTTAATCCTAGTATCCGGTGCACACGGGATTTGGCTACTTTAGACGACTTTATGATGAGCAGTAAAAACCGGACATTGCGATGAGTAGTTAACGGGTCATTCAAAGAAAATATATAATTAAACATAGTATATACTATGTATATAGTATATATGCTATGTATATACACACATAGTATATAGTGTATAGTATATATATATAGACGTTCTTTGGATCATTTTTGGTGTTGGCGATAATTTTCAAAGTCGCGCCAAGGCTGCACCGTATACTAGGATTTCACCTAACTTTTTTTAATGATGTAAATGTCATCAAATGGAAACTTATGAAAATAAAGACTAATATAAGTAATTATACAAATTTAGCTAATAGAAGCTATATAAACGAGCAGTTCCAAAACCTAATTCAGCTATTTGTTTCCAATTATGAATTACATAAATCATACAGGGCAAAACTAATTAACAGTCATCCAGAAAAGAAATTATTAATAAAGGTAATTTTAATATCACATTTTTTTAAATGGATAGCTATTATGTGAATACAGTAAAATGCATGACTGCATGAGTATTTACATTATTTACTAAACATGAGGGAAATATGAATAAGTTTCTTTTAAAATGTCCTTCAAAATGGCAGTTTGCTAAGGTATCTCTCACAACATTATTTATTGAAATAGTACTTAATTTAATTTTTTTGCCATTGGCCCATTTACTAATTTATCATATTACATATCTGGGAAGCAATAAATATTTCACCTTACTTACAATTACAAAATGATGTTGTTTTGATAGCAATTTTTCAAGAGGATTAAAGACACACCCAAAATTTCTTTGGTTTAGAAAAATAACTTTATGAATGAGTGGAGATACTGTCTGGAGATTTTTAAATATGTGTAACTTTATAGATAAATCTGAATTTAAGAATTTTGTTTAGTTAAAAATCAAAATCTAAAATTAGGAAAAATGTAGATCTTTAGTCAATTTCTTCTACACAAAATTTAAAAATTCCACTTTGAATCCATACAACATTGGAGTTAAAGATGTAAGTGGTTATGCATGATAATCATTTGACTATAACAGCATAATCAAAATCGTTTTGGAAAGAAAAGATTTATGTGTAATTTTTTTTTTTTCTACATGAAGAACTTGAGAGTACAAGATATGTGCTTGATTATTTGATTATATTTCGTATATAATAGCAATTCTAAAATTATGTAAATTTCAGCGTTTTATTGAAAGTTAGCAAAATTCATAAAATAATACCAGAAAAAGATAAATTAACAAAATATTAACTGATACCTAAAACTGGTTAATATTTCCATTATGGTACGCGCATTAATTACTTTGCTAAATTCAAAATTAAAGAATTAATTACTTTATTATTTCAGTATTTCAAAGTCATGGAAAAATAGTATCAATTTTCTTTTAGAAAAGTGCATTCTTAGACCTTAAAACTGCTATGTACGAGCGCTCCTTAAATCAAAGAATATGATAGTAGTTATTGTTGAATAAAAGAAATAAAAATTTCAACAAACGAAGCTCCACGAAGGAATTTTGAAAACACAGTAAATAAATACTCACGTTGCTCAATAAATCCTCTTAATTTCTGATACTCATCTGTAAGTATCCAACGGCATCCCGCGTAATATTTTCGCATGGCCAAATCATTTGGATCATGAAAACTTCTAAAACAAGTTTCCCATAAACCAAGTCTTAGGAAAACTGCACCATAATATCTTCGATCAGAATTTAGCCAATATGGTGTTACAAATGCAATGAAAATACTCACGAAACAAAACCCAGCAAAGCAATTAGCTGCTATTCTTACAGAACTGGACTTAAATCTTGCCATTTTTTTCTTTAAAAACCTCACACTCTCGCCGGTATACTTTTGGACGGAATTGCGTTTTTTATTGAAAATACCACATTCATACCACTTATGAAAATAAAACAACGAAAAGTCTCATACAGGGCGTGACCGAAGAAGTTGCAACCGCAACGTAAACAACACACACGCGTCCGCCATTACTATGACTACCGGGTTGCACAAGCACCTGTGTGAATCGAACTTCAGCTGTAAGGAATGGGCGGCGCGGTGAGCTTGGCGAAATAACGCGAATTGGCGCCGAAATCTGCAACAGCGCAAATTTACTATGACAACTATGACTATAACAAAATGATTATAACGTAATTCGGATAACATCAAAATAAAGACTTTTAATATTAATTGATAAATTTTTATTAATGAAATACAAAGGAAAAAAATAAGCCAGTTTTCCCCCCTCCATCTATTTACCATTTTATCTCTGTAACATTTATAAAATAATAATATTCATGTTACAGGAGAACCCATACAAACATCATATGCTAAAATACTTGCATTATATATCCTTTAGCTGTAACATATGTAACGTTTATTCAGCAGCATTTACTTGCGGTTCCTAAAACTTCGGAACCCGAACCTTACAGAATCCTTAGTTCCTAGAATCGCAAAATCCCAGTTGTGAAAATTTTTAATAGTAGATCCAAGCATAATCACTGGAAGTAAAATTCTCTCATTGTACCCAAACTGATTGAGAAACTGCTCAAAATCCTTTAACATTTTTAATCATACATGTAGTTATCAGTTCCCTTACCCGATTCCCTGCCCAGATCTGGAAGACCAGAAATTTTGCGACTTTGCAGCTGATCAGGTATACGGATCCGCGCATATGATAAGGTATATGATCCGAATAGCTGTAGGTTTGGTTTATTTAATTACGGCGAAGCACTCAAGGGCTATCTGCTTAAGGGAGGGATGCCTTCGATCTTTATTAGAGAATTGGATTGTACACATGGGAAAAACCACGAAAATGCGCATGCATCTAACCCATTTGCCGGAACTCAAACCCCGGACCGAACTACCAGTGTTCAGGGACATTTCCGCTCGGCCGCTAGTGGGCCATAAATCTAGGCAGAGCTTAAAGAGCGCCGGAGCCCGGTTCCGGTACTTCTCTGTTTTTCAGATAAATCGTAATTTTATCCAGAGCGCACCGGAGAAAATGCTATTTTAATTAAACATATGCCTTAAAAATCGATTCTAACTTCTGAATACAATCCTGTAATCCTGTCTCAAGGGGACAAACCTTGAGACTTTTAAGGAGAGGAAATCCTCGACTCACATATCAAAGGCTTACATATCAAAAATTTTTCTTTATATCAGAAATATATTCTTTATATGAAACATTTTTTGCGTCTTTTTCTATATGAATTAAAAAAAAATTTCATATATTTCTGTTTCTTTTCATTATTAAATGTTTGATAATTAATAATTTCAAAATAAACGTAGAATAATCTCGGTAAAATGGCAAACTGGACTGTTCTGAGACATCTTTTCCCCTATTAAGTTCCTAATTTTTATAATGTGTCGCATTAGAATATTATCAGAAAGTCATGGTGAAGAAACTGCAGTAGTTTTAAAATTTCGTGGGAAATGGAACGCGAAATTGTATATAACGGTTGAATGATTCTCAACTGACTTGTTATGTGGCGCCATCTCTCCATGGATATCCTAAATCTCAGTAATGTATCGTTAGTGCAATTTTTGTACATTTTCATACTTTTGGTTTCGTCATTTTTATTAATCAAACATCGGCGCATAAACACAAAGATTTTTTTCATAGCTATGGAGATATTTAGGTACTGCTCTGTTATCGGGACTGGATTCAGAAATGTATAAATGCATGCACGTGTGTTGTATGTGCATATGTATATAAACACATACATTTGTACTTACATATATACATGCAAAAATGAACACGTACATCCATGCATACACACATGCATTTCTGAATCCGGTCCTAATAACAGAATAGTACACTAGAGGAAGGTTGATTATTAGAAGTCATGATTTTATAAACATGTTTAATATTCTAAAATTAAACATAGATATATTTTTAATGTAAACAGGATATTGATCTTTTGGTATTCACATATTAGGGCAATAGGTTTAGCGATTTTTTTACAGATGGATTGGATTGGATTATTCAATTATGGCAAAGCACACGAGGGCTATCTGCCTAAAAGGAGGAATGCCTTCATGGAGGATTTTCTAAGGGAAACTGGCTCGTATACACGTTACACATGGGGAAAACCACGAAAACTCTCATGCAGCCAGCCCGTTCGCGGAATTCGAACCTCGGACCGAACTACCAGTGTTCAGCGTCTTTACCGCTCAGCCGCTGGTGGGCTATTTTACAGAAGGAAAAATTATGATGATTTCTAATAGCAAAAATTTATTTATTACATTCATGCGTATTATTGCTTACCTATTTAATATTACAATAATTAGGTATTTATCTCGAAGATAATCAAAAAAATCTTTTACATACGAGTTTTCGTTACTTTTGTTTCGATGGAAATTTCGTGGTGATCACTTTAGATTCAA